AACCCCTTATGGCACGATTCTAGCCTGGCCAACGTGACTGGGCCGGCAATTTAGTTAATTATTTTTACGGCAATTATCGAATGCATTCTGCAGTCTGTGGCGGCACGCCGCTTTCAACACTCCCCAAACCCATCAGCGGAGGAGCTATTGTTGCTGATGGCTTCTATATGTTATATTACTCACTTGAAGAGAGGACAAAAAACATGCTTCTGCAATTCAAAAAATTAGTAACTTTAAATTGTTCAAAGAGTTTAACATGTAGGTTATTGTTGAAGAATAATTACCACTTCAAAGGAACTATCTTCAATGGAACTTGAACAGACTTTTAGTTTGGGAAAGTAAGTAGTTTAAGGAGCGGTTTGTAATAATAAAGGATAGTTTTTAATATATTTATATATAAGCTAAAATCCTTCATCATATTCTTGGAGAAGTATATATTTTTAAAGAGAAATATAACTTTTAAAGAAGGGTTCTTATTAAGCATATCAAGCTTCTGACTAACATTATAAGACCGTACTAATAATAGTGACAGGCTTAATAAACCAGTAATAAACTACTTAAAGAAGTCCTAAGTCTAAGTCTTAGTTCAATTAAAACCTGTCCCCTTGTAGTTACTCCTCATCAAACCCTCCAATTATCTTCTAAAACCCACAATCCCTAATCCCTATTTACTTAGGCCAAGCTTTCAAGTGTCAAATTAATCGGAATCGAGCGTGAATAGGTTTTCCTTTATTTACCTGGCTCACTTTTGTACGGCATTAGAGAGGTATTTGCATAAGTGCACACTCGCCTGATGGCACTTGGCCCATTGATGAGTCACCTGTGCGCACCTGTCGCTCGTCCGAAGGGGGTTTGCCTAGTTTATATTCCTACTATTTTTTTCTCTCTTTATATTATTTCTGCTGTCGCTAAGCGTGTCAATTGCTTCGACATTTCCTGCGCAGAAATTTCGCTGCACAAAAATATTTATAATTTTCATACCAGAGGAGCGTTTTGGTTCGAAAGTGGGTCGAGTTACGTCGCAATTTGAATAAGACAAATAAGCCATGGCAACATTGTGGCAACATACATGAGCTGGCAACATGTTGCCAGTGGCGGGCTGCTGGGGCGTGTTAGCTTACACCGATCCGTGGCAGCGAATATATCCCATTTCGGGCGATCATGCAATGCAATTAGTTGTGGATGGAAAAGAGATTCGAAATACAAATATACGTAATAAAATTAACGCAAAAACAAAACTGCCTTGTCCATCATGAAATTTGAAGCTGCATTTGTTATACCCTTGCAGGGTATTATAATTTCAGTCAGAAGTTTGCAACGCAGTGAAGGAGGCACCTCCGACTATATAAAGTATATATATTCTTGATCAGGATCAACAGCCGAGTCGATCTAGCCATGTCCGTCTGTCCGTCTGTCCGTCTGTCCGTCTGTCCTTCTGTCCGTCTGTCCGTCTGTCCGTTTCTACGCAAACTAGTCTCTCAGTTTTGAAGCTATCTGAATGAAACTTTGTAGTTAGCCTTCTATATACTCTCACTCGTATATATGTCGGAACGGGCCGGATCGGACGACTATATCATATAGCTGCCATAGGAATGATCGGAAAATTTTACAAAAAAATTTTTAACTTTTTCAGTTTTCAATAGAATTGGATCAAATTTGAGTTATAGCCATTTTACTATACTCTATAATTTTGCATAAAATTTTATGAAAATCGGACTACTATATCATATAGCTCCCATAGGAACGATCGAGAAATTAATACAATTAAATTTATAACCTTTTTAGTTTTCAACTGATTTTCATCAAATTTTAGGTATAGGCATTAAATTTAAGTCTTAAATTTTGTGGTAAATTTCATGAAAATCGGACGACTATATCATATAGGTGCCATACAAACGATCGTTTGATGTGGCGGAAAAATGCAAATCAGTGAATGTAAAACTGCAAATATAATATGTATAGGTGAATGAAATGAAAGCAGGTATTACTTCATTGTTTTTTAACACAAAGATATATAATTTGTATTGTATGGTTTTTTATTCATAGAAGTTCTATCTGCAAGGGTATATAAACTTCGGCGTGCCGAAGTTAGCTTCCTTTCTTGTTTTTTATAATGCTTTGTTGTGTTTTTTTTTTTGTTTGTTTCTCTTTAGTTTTTCCTACAATTAAAGTCTGCCACATGATTTTGCTTTTGAATATGTGAACTCATTTTTTGCGGCTGCGCGGCGACGGCTGCTGTGGCGATGGGCTGCACAGAGAAAAAATGAGAGTCCTAAGGGAGTTGTGGAAAAATTTGAACAAAATTCAACACAATTAACCTATTTCTAAAATTGAAGTTTCTTTTTTTCTAAAACAAAGTGTGTATTTATTTAATTAATCAATGATTTAATTGGTTAAGTAATGTCATGTTGATGGAATGTTTAAAATGAAAGAATATGATATCATATTATAACATGATTATAAAATTATGTAAGTCCTAAATTCTATACGAAATTTACCCTTTGATGTCCGTTTTTTCATATACTTATTAAAACATATTTATTATTATTTGTTTAAAATATGTTGCTTTGAAGACGAGTTTACTTTTGACTGTTATTAAGTCAATAAGCATAATTAATAAAAGTTAATAAGTTATTTTATAGCAACTTGTAGCTTAAATCTTGCTTAAGAATTTGAGGTGCGATTCCTCCACTAATAAACCCTTTTAAATATTATATTTATTTTTATATAATCCGTTTTAAACGCTTCCTTAAAGAATTCATATTAGCATATAATACTTCTTAAGAGCCTGGCCTTTTTAAATATTTTTCTATATTTTAAATATACTTATGTCGTATAAAACTCAGATTTTAGATCTTGAGGCTCTGTATTTTATTCTCTGTGTACCTGTTGATGGCAACTTCCGCTGTTGCTTTTGGTTTTGCTATTGCGGCTGATGTTGCTGCTGCTGCTGCTGTTGTTGCTGCTGTTGCTGCTGATGTTTGTTGCTGCTGATGGTGGTGCTTCTGCTGCTGGTGGCAGCTGTAAGTAGTGGAGCTGCTGCCATCATCAACACATTTCATTGAGCGTGAAATGGAAACAGAGAAAGTACACAACAATATGTACAATAATTTTTATTTCTGCCTGGCTTTATCTCTCTGACTGTGCGCAGTCTCCTTCGCTTTGAGTCCAGCAATTGTGCTTTATTGTTATTAAAGTTTTTCCCATTGTTGCAGTTTTCCTTGGGCTCGGCTTGGTTTTGGCTCGGGCTCAGGCTCAGGCTCGAGGTGCTTTGGTGCAGCGACAACTACTTTGTGGTTTTTTCGGCATCGTTGGCATCGTCTTTTGCATTTTATGCAAATTGCTTGTAATTTTATTTAAGCTTTTCATTTACAGTTTTGTCGCTCCAATTTATTAGTTTGTTGTTGTTGCTTTTTCGCTCGGTTTCCCAGTTGTTTCGCTGATAGGCCAAAACAATCGCGTTGACTACTCGGATTTATTGCCAACTCGTGATTTCTCCAACTCGATACGTGGTCGCATTAGCTTTTCCGCATCGCTATCGCGGTAAAAAGCAAGAAAAAATACAAAAAAGAAGCTGACTGCATTGGTTACAAGGCTTGACTTTGGATTCTATTTTCTTGACGTTTTTTGCGGGCCTTTTCTAGCCAGTGCTAGCCAGTGTTTGCCAATTGAAGGTCCACTTATCGATTAAACTTTGCATGCAATTTTCAATGTCTCCGCAAGCCTTGATCCAAAAAGGTCGGGTTATAAAAACACATACAAATAGCCCCCAGCAAGCGCCGCTTAGTCATATCTACTTACCTCATGCTTTTTACCTGGCCAAGACTGACACACGCCTGTCAATTATGCAAATTATTCGCTGCCGTTTCTCGCGCCAATAATTCAAAATTGACAGTCGAAAGCCGGGCTTAGATCGCGGTGGCTTCAAGACCTAACAATCTTAAAATAAACTATCAATCATTAATGTTCATTTAGGGAAAATGAACTTGGAAATGTGTTGATATAAGGTTTTATTTTCTTTATATTTACATACCTTATAAATATATATATTTACATCCGGTGAATAAAATTGGTATGATTTATAAATTTTTTAATATAATATTATTATACATTTTCATTTAAATTTATATTATCAATATTAACCAGTAATAAACTGGAAATTCTGTTCAAAACTTTTTTAAAGAACCCAACCCACACAAGACTTATTTTTTATAATGAGTGAATGTAAAATCCCTTACTTAGCTAGTTAATAATGGGTTATTAACCGCAAAGTATTAGTACAAGTATTAGACAATTAACTAACCACATAAAATAAAACACACCAAAAAAACTATTAAATATTATAGATATAGTTGTTAAAACAAATTGAATAATCTTTACAACCCACTTTAAAATAAAATTTTCCAGTAATTGAATGAAAACTCCCGGCAAACTCTTTCTGACTGATGCGCTTTTAATTATTTTTTATTTTTTGTTGTACGAATGTATTTTTGCCAGCCATTTGTCTGCAAACCGCATCTCAGTGTTGAGCGAAGAAGTGAAAATTCAATTGCATTTTAATTTGAATAATGGGAATTTGTTTCTTTTGACGGGTTGGCTTTGCTTTAGCAGCCGCCGGTGTCAAAAGTCGTTGGCATTGTTTTGGGGTCTTGGGAGAGAGACTTGAAGTCTTTTTGGTTGCCTCCGGCACAGTGGGGCAAATCGGTGCAAAAAGCAGACTAAGTAAGAGGTGGTACTAGCAACTCTTTTGTCTTTTTTGTTTTTTTTTTGCATTTTGGCAAGCCAAGAGGCAGGCAATTGAAAATGTAAATAAGAGTAAACAATTAGTAGTCGAGTGCTGAGAGCTGGGTTAACCTTGCGGTTTGCCTGGGCCTGTATCCGAGCCCATTGTTGGCTGGCTTTCATTGTCTCGGCAGTCGGATAATTGACAAGACGTCATAGAACAAACAATACCATAATGCACACACAATTAACTTTCATTTTTTCACCCTCACTTGCAGAAACTCGAGCAGGAGAAGCATGTACTGCGCCAGAAGCTGGCAATTGCCGAGGACGAAAGCGACCAGCGAGTCCTTGAGCTACAGTCCGATCTCAGTGAGCTGAAAGAGAAGTTGCAGACGCAGGACACAGCCATTCGACAGGCAGAGAAGGAGAAGACCATCCTCATTGATGAGCTGCAGCATCAGAACACACGACTCACGGAACAGATCCAGGAGGCGCATGCCACCGAGCTGAAGCTCAGTGCCCAGATTCAGGAGCTGAAGGACCAGTATCACTACAGGAATAGCAGCCTGCAGGTGGGTTTCTCTCCTATTTTACTGGAAAACTGAAATGAATATCCCTTTCCCCCTCCAGGAACATGTCAACAGCCTGGAGTCCATCAAAACAGAACTCAACCTCACCACGGGCAAGCGGCAAGAGCTGGAGCGTCGCCTGCAGCATGCCCAGGAGGAGAAGGAGAGCCTGACCTCGTCGCTGGAGGAGGCCTCCGATCGTATCCACATGCTGGAGCGCCATGCCCGCGAGCAGGAAACCAAATTAGAGGTAAATCAGCCAGAACATCATGATGTAGAAGAGAGTAAAGGCGGAGGAAGAGCCCAGAAATTGGCTTTATCACGTCGCGTCAACGGAATCGTGATTTACCCAACAAATGAAGATTATTTATGGGCCAACGGAGCCAACTGCGCAGTTTCTCGAGTGCCACTGCCAAGTTTATCTCCTCGACAGCAACTTTCTTTTTGCTCCGCTTTGTGCCAAGACTAAACTCCATTCTATAAATATTTATCAACATGGATTCATTAGCAATGATTTGAGGAAATTTATTGGATGAAATCTAATCAATTTTGTATAGCAAAAAAATTGGCAACAATATTTAAAGATAACAGTAATGAAAAATATCAAACTTGAACTTGAAATAATACCAACAGTTAGGAATATAAGACAATTATAATTTAGTTAATAATATTTCAATTCACATTCTAATCCTTCTTTTTAGACCACCTTACAAGCATTGGAACGCTCCCAGCGTGAAAATAATGTACTCAGTGAACGTTTGGGTGCCGTAAGTTATCTCCTTCTTCTATTAAACTAATTTATCATCTACTAACCCATCATTAAGCGCTCTTCAAGGATAACTAAGAAAGCTAATCTGAAATTCGTAAAACTATTCAAAAGGAAATTTGAACAAAAATGCTAACAAAATCAAGCAGCTTTTTCCCCTAACATCAGTCTGTTTATACTCAAGTCGTTGATATATCTTTATAATTGAAATCATTTTGAAATCCCCCATCCGTAGGATACAAATTCGAGCACGCCGGGAAAGAAGAGTCTGCAGTTTGAAATGGAGTGCGATGAGGATGATGGCAGCTACACGGAAACGGGGAAGCCCAACCATATGTGGGTCGAGGCTAGATCCGTCTACATACAACTTAAGTCCCTTGTGGACTCGCTGAAAGTGAGCCACGACGACGATTCAGGTAAGAGATTACTAACAGATCGCTTAGAGCCAACCTCTAACCTATCCCCGATCCTCAACAGGTCTCAACTCTGACATATCGCTGGAGCTGGAGTCAATGGACAACACCATCTCGAGCTCGGAGCGCAACGAGGATGGGCACATGGCCATCGAGTTCCGCCAAGGTATGCTGTCAGCCATGTCCGACGAGCTGACCCGGCTGCTGCTTAACCTGGATGCCGGCAACTTCAAAAAGATGCTAGACCAGACGCGCAACCTGGTGCTCGAGCAGGAGGATGAGATCAAGCGCAGCCACCAGCTCATTCAGCAGCTAGAGGCCAAGGTCACAGTGACGGACGTGGAGCTGCAGAACGTGAAGGAAGAGCGAGATCAGGCGCGTGGCGACCTCGAGGACACCACCGATCGGGACGAGCTGTTGTCCAAGGCGCAGACAGAGCGTGATGCGGCCAACGGCCGTCGCACCAAGGCCGAAGTAGAGTTGGCCAAGACGCGGGTGGAACTAATGCAGGCCAACAGCCAGCTGCTGGAGTCCATCCAGCAAAAGGTCGAGCTGTCGCAGCAGTTGGAACAGTGGCAGATGGACATGCAGGAGCTAATTGATGAGCAGATGCGCTCCAAGCTGATCAACAATCGGCGAGCGCTGGCCAACGAATCATCCGCCCCGTCGCCACCCAGCAGTGCCGCCGCCAATCTGGCCAAGCGTGTGTCCAGCTACAAGCTCTGGAGCTTATTTCAGCGGTAATTGGATGCCGAACCTCACCGTTCGCTGGAAGGTGTACGCCACCCTCATCTTCTTGATGTAGGGCTCGGCGCGGAGCTATATATTTTTAATATTTATATGTATAAACAAAACAAACACAGACACACACAAATCGGAGGAGTGCGAATTGTACTTAATTGTTATTTGTATACTGAAGCTGAAGCATCATCGCCCTTCTCCCTCTTCTGTTCGTAGTGAAATCTATCTAATTACGCTTTATTAATTTTAAATACTTACCGCATATTCGATATGATTATTGTACCTACTTGTAATTAATGTAATCTTAAAAGAACTCGTACTCGTACCTATGTCTAAGCAGCGTCTCTCTACTTTATTAGTGACCACATATGGACCTCACAAGTAACCCTCCAAACAAGCTATACATTTTGTGTAGGGATTACTTGTTGGGTCCGTTTTGGGCCTTAATTTGTTAACTGATAATCAAAAAACAAAAGTTGGAAACATATCGCGCCTTTATTTTTGAGGGGAGAGCTTGAAAAGCCTCCTCCTTTCTCGGAAGAAGCTGTTTGCGATTCATCATAAATCATAAATCAAAACTGAAAATCAAAATCTGTACGTAAGAGAAATAAAAGTAATGTGTAAGAGCAAGGCATTTATGTTAATAGCATTAAAGAATTATTCATTATGCTGGCAATAGAAAGGAGCGCAGGAATTGTTAGATAAAAGAACACAAAAAACTGTGCAACAGACACAAAACTTGCCTTAATTGAACGGACAATGAAATTTTAGATTGTTTAAATAAAACATAACTTACGAATAAACATACAAATATATTGCACTTTTACCTTTTGTTGTTATATATGTATAACAAGTCGTTTTCATATAAATCTATATATTTATCAACTTTACATAAAACATAAAAAATATATACTTCGATTGCAACATTGTATACTTAAAATATATGCTTTGGAAGCAATCATTTGCACACAGGTGATAATGATTTGATAATGCTCGAATGATTCATGTTCTTCATAAAAACTAACTACTATTTCTTGAGATTATGCAGACGCAGGTGCTTTTTGTAGCTCTTTTGAGAGAAGAAGCCCTCCGGGCATTCTAAACATGGATAGGGCCTTATTTTATGACTGCCAATGTGTTTGTCCATTGTCTTCTTCAGAGCGAATTTGACATCACAATGCGGACACTGGTGCAGCTGGTTCGGTTCATCTTGCCTCCGATGCTTCTTCTCGTGCGCTCGTAAGCCCTGGAGTTTGTCGAATCCCTTGTGGCACTTGGAGCAATTGTAGGCTCGATCCTGGTTCTCCTCGTGCCAGAGAATGTGCTTCGCTAGCGACTGATTCGCGCAGAAACGCTTGTCGCACCTATCGCACTTGTAGGGCTTCTCGCCGGTGTGGACGCGGAGGTGATTCTTCAGGTGATGATTGTGTGAGAAGCCGCGGCCGCACTCCTCACACTGGAACGGTTTAACGTCGGAATGGGTGCGCTGATGTTTCTTCATGTTGGACTTCTCGAAGAAGGACTTGTCGCAGTCGGGGCACTTGAACTGCCGATCCTTGTTGTGAACGCGTAGGTGGGTGACAAGATGGTGGTTCTGGACGAAACCCTGATCGCACAGATGACACTTGAACGGTCGCTCACCGGTGTGCAGGCGCTGGTGGAGCTTCAGTCCCGAGTTTTTGGCGAAGGTCTGGGAGCAGTCGGGACACTGGTAAGGTCGGTCGCCCGAATGCCACCTCTGATGGGCCCTCAGACTGGATATGCTGTAGAAGGACTTTTCGCAATCCAGGCACTTGTGGGCCTTCGTCTCGTCGTGGGTCAGCATGTGCATCCTGAGCGTAGGACCGTGCGTGTACGCCTTCGGGCAGATTGTACATTTAAAGGGTCGTTCTCCCGTATGTCTTCGCGTGTGGATTGTAAGCTGAGCCTTTGTCCTGAAGCCCCGGCCACAGGTGTCGCACAAATGTGGTCGCTGAGGATCCTTATTTTCCTTGTGCCGAGCGATGTGCCTGGTCAGCAACTTGTGCGACTTGCAGGTCAATCCGCACTCTGTGCACAGCAGGGATAGATCCTTCTCGACAGCCCGTGTTGTGGTCTCTGAATCCTGAGGCATCCTAGACTCCTCTTGGTCTTCGGACCAGCCATCGGACCAATCAACTCTTTCGTCGTCATCCTCGTCGTCCTCATCATAGTCCTCCGCGTCCTCTTCTTCAGCTTGTTTATCCGCACCGTCGATTGAAGCCCCGTTGGACCTCTGCTCTTTTTCTAACTTTATGTCATCATTCATGTCCACTGTATTAATATAAGTATTTATACATCGGTGAAAATTAAGAATATTTATATATGCACATACATTCGAGAGCTACATATAAGCCGGGAACTAACTCCGAAGACCCAGAATCGATGTCATCTTTCACAAGTTCATCATTTTCCTCTTCGCTTTTTGGCAGCTCTGTGTTGTCCAGCGGGTCCTCACATCCGACCATCTCGAAGGCAATGAACGATTCCTTGGCAGCACTCCTGCCTCGGCTCTTATCCCGAATAACGTCGCCGGAGGTTGCCGCCGTGACGAGGTCGGAAAAGTAACGATAGCTCCTTTCGCACTTGTGTTTGAAGTGGAACGCTTGCTGGGCGGCCACCAGGCAGGTTGGACAGATTTTCTGAGGCAGGGCATCCCGATTGACGCGGCAGTTCTCGGCCAGAATCGAGTTAAGCATTTCTGAAATCGGCGGATCGGAGATCTCCGTGGAGAAGGGGTCCACCAGTAGAGTCGAGTGGCCGGCACAGACCCTGCAGTTCTTCTCCATGCTGCCGCCGTCCAATCTTTCCATCTTCTGTGATCTTGATCCCTGCAGCAACAGATGTTTGGAATTTCAAAATATCCCAGAAATTATGGGCACCTTCATGCCAACTTTACAATGTGAACGTTCTCGACCAGGGTTGTCAGCTGTGCGCGAATACGCGGTAGTTGGTATCGTATCGTATATCTAGTCACGAAGTAACTGGAAACTAATTAAACAGCAACTGTATGAACATTAATATATAATAACATTTAACATTAACATTATTAACATTAATAGTAAGTAAAGTAATAAAAGTGAATATAAATCTTTTTTTTACCTTCTTTTACCCTTCCAACAATATTTTAATTCATTCCATATATCTGAATATTTTTGAAATTATATTGTATTTACTTTTTAATAGTATTTATTATCTCTTTTAACTTTTGTTACTATACATAAAACTGAAATATTTTGTGGTATTATCAACTTATATTTTTCACAAATTCGCCATTCACAATCACAGTCATCGCTTTAAAAATACTCGTGACCAGTCACGAGATATCGCTCATCTCTACCAGCTTTGAGCAAAATTAGTATCTTGTATTGTCAAACACAAACTCGCGAAGGTCTCTTTGTTGTCGTTTCTCGCAATGGTTTAGGATTACATATTCAGTGTTTTAAGCTAAGCATAAAGTCTCTCCCATCGCCGGACATGGATATCCTGGACATCGATGAGGCACTGAAGGATGATTCATATATGTGAGTGATGCACCCTTGTTTTTGTTGCTGCCTCTGTTGTTGTTGTTGCTGGCTCAGCACAGGCAGGCACAGGCAATAATGCTAAAAATACTCATGCATGGTACTTGGTGCTTGTACTCCTTGGCAGATTTCTGGCGGACAAGACCCACGATGATGTCTCCAACATTCTGCAGCAGTGGAAATCGAATAATCAGTCGCAGCCGCTGCAACTGCATCCACAGTTACCGTACAACAACGAGGGTAAGCCTTTCCACACATACCGATGCAGACAAACACACACACAAACAGTTGCAGTAGTGCCTGCAGTTGCGCTTTCTAAAACAAATTTGGGTTAAACTGGCGGCGGCTACGTTGACAAAGTTCGCGTTCAACGTGGGCAGGAGACAGTCCGGTGGTACTTACTGTTGTTGTCTGCCAAGTGGTTGTGGCCATAATTGGCCAGCAGCGCCAATGTTATTGTTACGGTAATTAATCAAGCGCACACATACACACGCGTTTCAGTGGTCGCGAACAGCTGTGCGTGGTACGGTCACAGAAAACGGGCTATGCAAATATGGCAAGAATCTCGCATAATAAGTGAGCATTATATAAATCCGATTTACTTCCTGCCCAGCCAGCGAAAGTCAATCAAGCGATGCGTGAAACAATTTTAATCTGCCTAGCAATTATCGAGGTGGTAACCGGAGAACTGTAGGATCAAAAATCGATTAGATGACTTAGTGCGTTCGAAATGTAGTCACGCCGAGCACTCTTTTGATGATGGTTACCTGCTAATAGATATTGTAGAAAGATGAGCTTCCTATATTCCAATTAATCATTCTGCTTATGATATTATCACATACAAAATATAGTTTTTTAACTTGGAGCAGTGATTTGACAAAATAAGACACAATTGAAACAAATCGCATTCACTGATCTTGTTCTCAATTCTATCAATTTTAAGATGTTCTGAATTTGGGGTAGACCCTAAAAAGATTACGAAAAACAATTGATTAAATATATTCAGGTCTTTTATAAATACTATTCCTATTTGAGGTCACGAATCACAGATGCGCTTTTGAAGGCGCCCAGATCTTTTTACAACTTCCCTTTTGGTGTTGCAAAACTGATCTAACACTAAGCTCTGCAGGCATTTGACAGCACTGATTAAACGGTAAACTTAGTTTGCGCTTGACTGGCGATCGCTCTGATTTTTTCATGAATAAAACTCGAATTACACGATGCGATTCTTGGAAAATATAAAAAGCAATGTTGGGGACAAACGCCTCAGCACCACCTTTAAGGCGCAGCCACAAGCTCAACCGGCACTCAATGATCTGCGGAAGAATTTGCAAGAGCGCAGAGACCTGGAGACCTACGTACGCCAGCTGATTAACACGTCGGACGTGCTTCCTGTAATGGAGACGCTCTCGCGTGCTTCGGAGCAGGGCCCGGCCACTGTCACCGGCTGGTATACGGTGACCATGGCCAAGTGCGCCGGCCTGCCGGATTCTACCATTTACACGGCGCTCAACTGGGTTATGGTGCCGCTGCATGTGGACATTTTCAACTTCAGACGCAGTGGACCTGCTGACAACAATGACCGTGTCGAGTTCATGCTGGACAACTCACTATACGCTAACAGGCTTAATCGTCTGCGGGAGAATGTCATGGTCATGTATACTTGTCAGCCGTTGGAGGTGCATGTGAAACCTGGTCTTCCAATCATTGACGCTGCAGTTTCCACGGCATTCGAGAAAGCGGTGGAAGCTGCCCTGCGCGGGCGATACAAAGCTGCGACACGTACCTTGGATTTATCCCGATTCCACGCAGATCCTCACCTTTCTGAACATTTTTGCCCACTTCATGTTGTAAAGTTCTTGGAGGGAACTTTGAAGGTGGCGCGCCGAGAGCTCCAGAACGAAGTGACAGGAATCATCTTGAGCAACAACTATCTATGCTCCCTAAAAGCCTTTGCTAATATCTCGGCGGATGACTTCAGCGCTCTTGAGCGACTCGACATCAGCGCCAATAATATCAACGAATTGGCTGAGCTAAAGTATCTCAGCAAGCTTCCAATCAAGACGCTGCTGCTGTGCGGCAACGAGGTGACAAAACTTGAATCGGATGACATAAAGGCTATCCTTCCGCAGCTGAAGGACATTCATGGCTGCTTGCAAACGAAGCCCACAGCTACCTTGCTAAATAATCTGCCTAAATTCAAACAACTAAATGGCGGCGATTCCGGCTCCACTGGCATAAAGTTTAGCCAACGGTTTGTCAAGTCCTATTTTGACATCTTTGACGATCCCGCCCAGCGCCACCAGCTCACCAAATTCTACGACAATCAAGCCACCTTCTCACTGAGTGCTCCGAAGCAGCTCAGCCATGTAAGCGTCTACAGGTTGTACAATCGCAACCATCAGAGCCTCCAGTCTTCGTTCGCACGCATCGGCAAGCTACAGGTGGGCAGCTTGGCTGTGACTCAAGCCCTTGGACGCTTTTCCCGAATGGTCACGAGCATCCAGAGGGCCAGCGTGGACGTCCTGATGTTCAACAACCGTCTGCGTATCCTAGCACTGACGGGCTACTTTAAGGAGCACACCTCCCAGGGCTGGGAACAGCGACACTTTCAACGCACCTTTGTGCTACATCGGCCTGAAGGTTGTGCTGGCTGGATGATAACCAACGACATGCTAAGCATAATTTCTACGCACATAGATCAACATGGTCCCATCGCCACTGCGCCGCAAAAGATTTTCATAAATCCAGACAGTATTAATTCCAGCTCACCCATCGGGGACAGAGAAGTGAAGCAGTCTACTTCTGCTAATAATGCCTCGCCAAAGCTAGTTATAGATGCCGTGGACCAGGCTGTTCAAGAGCTGAGCCTATCCATGCCCAGGATGGCACTCGTTACCCAAACACGTGACGAGGAAATGCCACTGATGGAAATGCCTCCGCTGGTGGCTATACCGTCAACTGTGTCCGCCACTCCTTTAGTCATCGATATCGACAAAGACTTAGAGCAGGAGATTGACACAGCTCTATGGATCGATGATTCTCTGGTCATCGATGAGGAAGTGCTCTTCGGAGATGTATAAATTTTGATCCAAAAGATATCATTCAGTTGTAGGATTAAGCTTTCACTAGGTCCATAAGGCATAGATAAATAAGTCGCCAATAAGTCAAGCCCAATTCCCAATAAGCTAACTCTTTATTACCTTCTATTCCCCAAAAGCCTACAAACACAACTCGAAGACCTTCACCCGCCCCAAACGTCGCAATTTGGATTTCGTAAGTTAAAGATGAGTATTTAAATTATTCCGAATAATTAAGCATTGTAATCCTCTTACAGAGCCAAAATGGAGCAGGAGTGGACTCCGGAGCAGTTGCCGGCACTCCGCCTGGGATGCTCCAACTGGAAATTGGCGGCCTGGTCACCACGAACATGCACAAATCCTTCCTGCAGGACACCTCTCCTCCGTCTTCCATTTGCTCCTCCATGAACACGGAACGGATGAACAATTCGCTTATCACGTCCGCCGACTTTACGAACCTCAACTTTCTCCAATCCACAATTGGACTGGAGCAGGAGCCGAGTCTGACCACAACGCTGACCAACAACCAGACAGCGGACAACAACACGGGCGTCGGGTGCTACACGCTCAGCGACATGATCAGGGATCGCAAGGCGCTGGAATCGCTGACAATGTGCGAGGACGATGGCACTTTGATAAAGGACTCGCACATCGGGCAGATCGACGAGATATCGCTGACGCTGAGCAAGACCGCCTCCGGCTGCAGTACCATGGACAACAGCACGGACAGTATGTCCAATCCCCTGGCTGCAGCAGATCGAACAATGCCTGTGGGCTTGCCTCCAGCAGTCTGTCCCGCCCTGCAGCGTACCCTAATCCTGAGCGAGGAGATGATCGGCGATACAACCTTCAATTTGGTCGACAGCCTGACAGCCTCTATTTTACCATCGGATGCCGATAGATCCCTGCCTATTGATGGGAATGCAACCTTCAAGAGACCCGCCGCAAGTACAGCGGCAGCAGACGAGACGCAACTCTTGACGGCGCGCCAGATGAACACCACCTATACCGAGGGATGCAATACACCGGAGGCTCGTTGTGAAACACCTGAGAATGTCGATCGCAAGCTGCCTTTGCTCACCATGGAATCAACTCCACTGACCACCAACTTGCGCTCCCACTTCTACCCCAACAACAATAATAATAACAACAAGCATGGTGCGTACACGCCGACGGTAAAGGGGCATGTGGACATGAATCTGTCACCGATTGTATCCACCACGCCGCAGAGGGCATTGCAGGGACATGGACGACAACATAATACTACCTTCGAGCCGCCTGCTAGGGCAGGCGCAGAAGTAGCAGCAGCAGCCCCTTTTAACGGTGAAAAGTTCGTGCTGGATACGATGGAACTGCTGGAGCAGATCGAACAGCCGCTGGATGGCACGTACAGCCTGCAGATGTCCGAGCAGCACAAGCAAATGCAGTGCGTCATGGACTTGGCCGAGGCAGAGGTGGAAATGCTGGCTCAGCAGGGCGACGAGGAGCAGTTTGAGCACATGCTTGCGGAGCTGGGCAAGGTGAACACGCTAAGCGAGCACCAGCTGAAGATGCAAAAGTCTCTGGATACCATCAGGCGGCGCTTTCATCGGGACGATCCCACGGAGGTAGATGAAGGAGAACGGGAAATTGATGAGCAGCATCAGCAGCAGTCGCCAGCCGAGAAGGTGGAGACACCGCAGCTCAACCTAAGCCACTTAAGCAACAGTAACAACAGCAGCAGTAGCGGAGAGCGGCTTCTTAGCCGTCGCAGTCGGCTCTACGACGATGTCAATCTGAGCGTCATGCACGGCAGCAATGCAAGCAATGCTAGCTGCAATTCGGCCTCGTTCATCGTCCAGCGGAGAGAGGCGCCTGCAGCCGAACCTCAGCCCGATCCCGAACCAGCGGAAGAGCCTCCAAAGCCTCAGGCGGCCACAGAAAAGGACCCTTCTACCTACAAATTGGCGGAGCGAAGGGAACGAGATCGTGACCGCTTCAAGACCATCAAGATTTCGAAGGAGATGCGCCTGCAGCCAGAGATTATAGTGCCTTGTATAGACGATGAACTGCAGCAAGAGCAACCGGAGCCTGATGAGGAACAACATCATCAGCAGCAATTTGGGGAGGAAGGGCAGCTGGAGGAGGAGCAGGTAGAACCGCCGCAGCGTCAGGGTTCGCCGCCTGGTCGCCTGTCGCGTCGAGATCAGAATTCGGTCCTTAGCAACAACAATAACAACAAGGTGGGGAGCAACTATTTGACCTACAAGAAACCCAAAGAGAAGGCCCTGCTCCAACGAAGACCGATGCTGCAACAGGAATCGGAAACAGCGGCGCTGCCCGCGCCCTCGCTTCCCCAGCCACGATCCCTCTCTCGGCCGCGATACATAAGTGGCCTCCAGAAGTTCACCACGGTAAGCAAAGCCACGTCAGCCGGTGCTGGTCTGAACGCCGCTCCATCCGGTGTCATGCCCGTCACTGTACCAGCGCCACCGGCTACCGGCAGTGGCGAACTTAAGAGTCCCATGGGCATCAAGTCCAAATCGTTCCATAACTTGTCCTCAACATTGAGTGGCATTGGTGGTGGAACGGCGGCGGGAGCTGGAGCTCTGCCAAGGCCCAGTTTGGGAGGTGGCCTGCGACGACCTGGCGCGCAGCCCAGCAAGCTTATGAGCGGACTGCGAGGACCAATGCAGCCTCAGGAGGTGAGTACTTCATAGCCAACTTATAAGTTTCATTGCTTAAGTTTTTCTGCCCTTCTCCTCCTCAGGACGACTCGGTATTTAAGGTGCCCAAGTTGGTTAGTGGTCTCCGTGCTCCTGGTCTGACTGGTGCTAAGCGTGTGGGAGCTAATGGCCTGGCTCGTCCTTCGTCCGGCTATTACAGCCTGAGCGTTAAAGCAGCACCTGAGGCGGAAACTCCAGAGGTGAGTCAAACCAAGAAGTTATTCTTTTTTGCTTGCTAATTTGTGCAATGAAATCTATTTTAGAGCCTCTCCTCAGCCTCATCGCGCGGTAGTCTGTATGGACACAGCAAGGACAACACTATTAGGTCAACAACCAACGGCGGCAATGTTCCTCAGCCCTCCTCCTTCGACACACAGGCTCTAACCTCCAAGCTAACCCAGGTAACAACGGGGGCCACCGGCATACCGAAGCCCTCGGGTCTACGTCCGCCTTCGCAGATGAAGCGCAGCGGCCTGCCGCGGCCCTCTAGCATTGTTAGACGCTGAGAGCACCTGGTCCGAACCGAATTTCCATGACCATTCATGTATCCATCCTTTTTGTATTCTGTGTTTCGCTCTTTTGTGTATGTGTTCCCCCAACTCCCATTTGCCTAGTGATTTCCGAGACACTAGCATTTATGTTTATTAATTAATATTACGAGAAATTATGCATTTAGTTTAACAAACCGAGAACTTTGCACTCACAGAACCCATGAACCTACATACATAGCTAGATATTATAGAAAAAAAAGTAAACATAGACACGAACTTTGCCTTACGAATCATAAAAAAAAGATAAGAGGATTGAGAATGAGAATGATAATTCAAACGATAAATGATTGATAGCTGTATATTTTGTAAAAGCAATGCAAAAATTCTACGAACGTTATGAAGCATAAGCCAATCGAATAAATATTAGCAAGTGAAAAAATATATACCATAAGACCCCTGCTCAGTGGCCCCGAAGGGCCACAACAAAAAGAAAACCAAACAAACAATTGATAATAACCTATAAGAGTATTGAACGAACTTACATTATCTAATATTATCGCATATATACATATAAAATACAAACAACAACTAAACGATAGCAATATGTATTGTCTTATCAGAAGGTCTGCAACCCGTTTATATTTTCTATATTATCAACTCCAGATCTAAAAATCATTTGAAATTGTAAAAGGTGCAGAAGCAACCAACTATTTCTCTTGCTTCAAAACATAATACAATTACTTTGGCTCCCCTTGAGTGCTATATAAGTATATAATGAATATATTCTTGTGAACCCACTTTCAGTTCTTAGTTATGTTTGAGTTGCCAAAACAAAAAAAAAACTTCATAATAAAACAATATACATTAAAAACCTGAATGTAATATTCAATTCGAAGCCTTTGTCCACCACATATGCATATCCTACGTTAAGATTAGTCTGCATTGTCTAACCCTAGAATGTAATCCTAGTTTAATCCGATTACCAAGTATTGTTTCACCTAGAACCTTATAATAACAAGATGCATAATGCCCATGCATTCGAATTGTCATATACAAGCAATTTTCTTGTAAGCGATTCTCTTGCTAGTACAATGCTTTAAGCGTTTAAATCTAAAAATAGATTGCGCGATATGCTCATCTTGTTTATATAAGGTTTTTAGTTTCAACCTTCACACCAAACTGAATACTATTCATACAACTAACTAACCCTATCATTGGGGCGGCAGAAGGCGCTGTAGATTTGAAATTAATCATTATACTTAAAATTTTCAGTTATTTTAATTGAATTCAAACCAAAGCGGTTTCTAAGAGAGCTCTCTATATACACAAGTATATCCTTTGTATCCTAGCGCTAATAACCCATTAAGCTTTAACCCGCATTAGGTGATCATTTGCTTGAATCGAATTTAGTTAGTTACTAAGTCTAGTATGGATCATTATTTTTGCTAAAGCTTTCATACGAACCCTTAACCGCCAGTTAAGATTGAAACCGTTCCAGCAAGTCCAGCTGGTTTTTTTTTTACCAAAAGCCAGACTTTCAAATAAAAGCCAACAAACGTATGGTGGTAATCGTTATTTGTCTTTATTGTGACTATCTAACCGGAGAACTTGCAGAAGCCCCACTTGCAGTTCCTGTTCGAAACGGGACGACACCAGTTGTTCTTCCAGGTGCAGTAAACAATCACCGGTGGTGCAACGGTGGTGGTGTTGGTTGTGGGTGCAGGTGTCGTTGTGGTTTCAGTGGCGTTGGTTTGTGTTACCACATAGATAACGCGTTTTACCTTAAAACCCATTGCAGCCGCCTGGAACAGGACGAGAGCTGCCAGAGCACAGAGTACAAAGTGTTTCATTGCGAAGATTTATCTTATGTGGATCAACTTTAGAGCAGGTAATAACATAATTATCTTGGAGTGTGTCGGTATTTAAATGATTTCACTGCCGGTAAAGTTTTACGAAGTGTGTCAACAAATATGTTGGCAGAACAGCTGCTGGCAAGGCCAAAACAAATGTCTTCGACTTTAGCTTTCATTAAGTTCTTGTCATACCCCAATATAAAGCAGATTGCCAAGGCCTCACACCCTTGACATTGACTAAAATGTTTGATATTTATACATTTGTATGTATGTGCATATAGTAACAGATGGCTCAAATATGGATATACATAAATTAATATTTAGATTATTAAGAACTATAGTTATAGGGGAAAATAAATCAATAATAAAATCAGTTAAAAAGTTTCCGGAAATGTTGCTAGGCACAAGTTGCTAAGAAACGTGTTGAGAAACACACATAGATGTTGATATGGTATGTTCAGCAACTCGTTTATTCTTATAATTAATTATATTAATTCGACAGCTTACATTTTTGCAGTTTAAATATTATATAAATTAAAAAAAAAAACTTTAAATAGTTTTACTAAAATATAATTATAACAAAATGACAGACGCGACAAACTTTCTATACAACAATTTCAAAAATCTCTACTGTACGGCATCTTCCGGAGTTAGAAAAAAGGGAACTAGTACTAAACGACATTATTTATAAAAATAACATTATTAACAAGTTATTTAATTGACTTTTTTGTTAAGAAAAACACGAATCACCTATAAAACTTTTGGGGGCACCTTGTATCGCAAATGCTTCTAGTTTAAGTGTTGCAAAACTCAATCTGTCACTAAGTTCTTTTGCCGCTTGACAGCACTGGTTAAGTTTGCGTCAAAAGAAAATTTTTCACTTCGTAGCTTCCGCTAGAATCAGTCAAATTCTCTCATTTCTGATTTTTAAAACAGTGACGATGCGAGTTTTAAATATTAACAAAAACAATAATGGCGACACACGCCTCAGCACCACCCTTAAGGCGCAGCCGCAAACCCGACCAGCGCTCAGTGATCTGCGGAAGAACTTCCAGGACCGCAGAGAGCTCGAGACCTACGTGCGGCAGATGATTACCGCTTCGGATGTACGTCCTGTAATGGAGACGCTCGCGCTTGCTTCGGAGCAGGGCCCGGACACCGTCACCGGCTGGTATACGGTGACCATGGCCAAGTGCGCCGGCCTGCCGGATTCTGCCATTCGCATGGCGCTGGACTGGGTCCTGGTCCCGTTGAAGGTGAAATTTTTCAACTACCGACGCAGCGGACCTGCTGACAACAATGACCGTGTCGAGTTCATGCTGGACAACTCACTATACGCTAACAGGCTTAATCGTCTCCGAGAGAATGTCATGGTCATGTATACTTGTCAGCCGTTGGAGGTGCATGTGAAACCGGGACTTCCAATCATTGACGCTGCAGTTTTTGCAGAATTCGAGAAAGCAGTAGAAGCTGCCCTGCGCGGGCGTTACATGGCTGCGACACGTACCCTGGACTTATCTCGATTCCACGCAGATCCTAACCTTTCTGACCACTTTTGCCCACTACACGTTATAAAGTTCTTGGAGGGAACTTTAAAGGTGGCGCGCCGCGTGCTCCAGAACGAAGTGGCAGGGATCATCTTGAGCAACAATTATGTGTGCTCCTTAAAAGCCTTTGATGATGTCTCGGCGGATGACTTCAGCGCTCTAGAGCGCCTCGACATCAGCGCCAATAAGATCAGCGAATTGGCTGAGCTAAAGTATCTCAGGAAGCTACCAATCAAGACGCTGCTGCTGAGGGGCAACGACGTGAGCAAGCTAAAATCTGATGAAATTAGAGCGATCCTTCCGCAGCTGAAGGACATTCATGGCTGTGTGCATTCATATCCCAAAGCTCTTTTGCTAAATAAGCTTCCTACATTTCAGCAATTACAAGGCGGCGAGTCCGGCTCCACTGGAATAGAATTTGCCCAACGGTTTGTCAAATGCTTTTTTGACAGCTTTGACGATCCCGCCGAGCGCCACCAACTCACCAAATATTACGACACTCAAGCCACCTTCTCACTGAGTGTTCCGAAGCAGCTCAGCCGTGTGAGCGTCTACAGGTTGTACAATCGAAACCATCAGAGCCTTCAGTCTTCATTCGCGCTCAAAGGGAAGTTGCAGGTGGGCAGCTTGGCTGTGACTCAAGCCTTTGGACGCTTTCCTCGAATGGTCACGAGCATCCAGAGGGCCAGCGTGGACGTCCTGATGTTCAACAATCGTTTGCGCATCCTAGCGGTGACGGGTCACTTCAAAGAGCATACCTTCCCAGGCTGGGAGAAGCGACACTTTCAACGCACCTTTGTACTGCACCGGCCTGAAGGTTGTGCTGGCTGGCTGATAACCAACGACATCCTAAGCATAATGTCTCCACGGGGTCCTATCGCCACTGCGCCACTAACTGCTGCCATAAAATTGGACATTATTGATTCCAGCTTAGTCATCGAAATCTCGGATAGTGAAGACGAGTCTTCTTCTGCCCCTAATGCCGCGCCAAAGGTAGTTGATCCTGTGGAGCAGGCTGTCCAAGAACTGAGCCTGTCCATGCCCAAGATGGTACTTGTTAACGAAGTGCGTGACGAGGAAATGCACCCACTGGTAGAAATGCCTCCGCTGGTAGAAATGGCTCCGCTGGTAGAAATGCCACCACTGATAGAAATACCCCCACAGTAGCAGTGTCATCGGTGGTCCCAACTGCGTCTTTATCTTTCGATGATGATGAATTTTTTGATCTGGATGAGGAAATCGACTCGGCTGTGTGCAGCGATGATGCCCTGGTCATTGATGAGGATGCTCTGCTTAGAGATATATAGAAATGAGGAATTGAAATAATTGTAAATCAGTGGTAGATATTAACTAAGTCTTAGACGCCTTGGGTTGACAGTCGCAGTTATTATCAACTTATATTTACCACAAGCATAACGCATGGTAATCGTAAGTAGAAGTCATGAACTAATATTATTCTTAATATACACGATTGTAATACTCTTGCAGAGCCAAAAGGGAGCTACAAAAGGAACCCTGAGCTGTTGCCGGATGTCTTTGAATGCTCCAAGTGGGTCAGGTCACCGGAATCATATAAAAATTTCTCCTTCAACGATTCAAAGTTATTTGAATTCTTTATCTTTTATGAATTACTACATTCATATTGTAAAAGAAATAACCAGAAACTATATAATATAAAAGGCATCCAAAGAAGAAGGGATGGAAATGTTAATGTTACTATATAGCATTAGCATAAAGAGATACTATGGCCAGGTGAGATCTTACACCAAAATGCAGCGAATGCAGTCGCCTCTCGATGAGCTCTGTTATGCTGATGTTGGCAGAGCAACATCATCGTCATCATCATCATCGATGATCGAACGATTTTGGCAAGGGATCGGTTGTAGCAACACTCGGCCAGCCAGTTGTCTGGTGGCCGTCGTGGCGCGTGCATCATCCAATCTTGCAGAGAGCGAGTACCCAGAGGAGAGTTCCGAGAGTCCCAAGAAAGAGGATCGCACTGGTTTTCATTGTGGCAACGTGAGGACAAACGGAAGACGCTGTGGAGCTGCAAAGAGAAAAGGCGCTCGAATTCTTCCGAGTCCTGACCTTCGTGCTGCTATTCCTGATCATCTCCCTGTATCTGTATCGCTTCGCCTTCTAGGAGTCGCGTGAAGCTAACTTGGCTTAGCTTCGGAACTGGGTGAGAGGATCCTCGGATTGTGTAACCCGACTGCCGCCTGGGAAGGGGGAAACTGTGATTTTAATTTCATTTTCTTTTATTTTCGATCTCGATTTTGTCGTCGATTCTGCTCGTCGTTCTCTATTTCTCTCGGGGACGGGGACCTTGGCGTGGTTGGCGTGTTTGGCGTGTTTGGCGCGTTGAGGGTCTAATTAAAGCCGCAGCGAGGATGCCCAAATTACCAGCGGTTGGCATTGACCTTGGTACCACGTACTCGTGTGTCGGCGTCTTTCAGCATGGCAAGGTGGAGATCATAGCCAACGATCAGGGCAACCGCACCACGCCCAGCTATGTGGCGTTCACGGAGTCGGAGCGTCTCATAGGCGATGCGGCCAAGAATCAGGTGGCCATGAATCCCAACAATACGATCTTCGGTGAGTCGTCGTCCCTGTCCCTGTCCCAGTCCCTCACGGATCTCTGCCGTGCAGAGATCCGATTTAATTACTGGCAAAACATTTTCATGAATGAACTGTGCCCGTACATTTTGTTTATTACTCGCACATCTCGCATTCTGGTTATTTTAAGAAAGTTCTCACTCGCTGGCGCCAAAATGTGCAGTCTCCTCCTCCACCACCTCATACATTTAATTTTTCACCAGTGCAAGCGAGAGAGATATGGTATCCTCCGCCCACACCCGACCCCCTACTGTTTCCAATCCCACTACATTTGGCCTAGTGACACGTCCACTTGTTGTGTCAGTTCTTTTGCCTCCCGGGGTGAGGTTGATGAGGCAGCCACTGCCACTCCTCCTCCTTCTTCCTCTTGGCCAACAAGCTCTCTTGGCTGTCGCGTTTATTGGCATCATTTGTGTTGGCCAAAATAAATGAAAATAAGTCTCAGTGCAAAATTGTTTTGGTGACAAGAAAAGCGTTCGGTTTTGCATAAATACTTTTCACGTTGGCTGCGTGGAGGAATGTCGCTGGTTTTTCGCGACAATGTCTTTGATTTCGGAAAAACAAAGCTAATAATGAAAGGCAGCGAAGAAGAATTAGTAATAAATATAACTCAATACCTTGGCAGGAGATAAATATGCTTAGAACTAGTAATAAATAACATATATGTACTAAATACCTTGGCAAAACAAGCTTAGAGTATTAGAGATATTAGATTTTCCCATAATAATTTTTAGTTATGATTGATTGAACCCATGATCCTATGGCTAACTTCAAGGATATACAAAATCGTCTTCTCGAAGTTAGCTTTATTGGTTGTAATTGAAATTTCAAGACAACTAAAACTAGAGCTATAGAAAGTAACATCATTTCAGACCTTAATTCTTATGCTATCCTACTTAATAATATCATTAAAAGTATAAAAAAAAACCTGTACATATAGATAGAAAGATAGATCTTTAAAGTAACCTCTTTTCCCATCATTTCTGTAGAGTTTTTTGACATTCCATTCCCATCCTCCGAAAGATTTGCTGAGCAGATCTAATGCTAGTCTTCTTTCTTTCTATTTTTGTACTTTCATTTCAGGGTCAGGGTCCGCTTAGAAGTCCGGCTAGATTAGCCTAGACTGTGACCTAGACCTGCACCCAGACACACAAACAAAGCAAACACAAGTCCAAATACCAATTACCAATTACCACACACCCTATATGTTAGCCAATAAAGCGATTCTGTTGTCCAAGTGCGCCCCAAGGTGGTTTCTTTTTGTTGGATTCTGATCGAGTGACTTCTGACTTGCAGATGCCAAGCGGTTGATTGGCCGCCGCTTCGATGACGCCACCGTGCAGGCGGACATGAAGCACTGGCCCTTCGAGGTGGTCTCCGAGAACGGCAAGCCGAGGATCCGTGTGGAGTACAAGGGCGAAAGGAAGAGCTTCTATCCAGAGGAGGTGTCCTCGATGGTGCTGACCAAGATGCGCGAGACAGCCGAGGCGTATCTGGGTGGAACTGTGACGGATGCGGTGGTCACTGTGCCCGCCTACTTCAACGACTCGCAGCGCCAGGCCACCAAGGATGCGGGTGCCATCGCCGGCCTGAACGTGCTCCGGATCATCAACGAGCCTACGGCGGCGGCCATTGCCTATGGCTTGGACAAGCAGGGCACCAGCGAGCGGAATGTCCTGATCTTCGATCTGGGCGGCGGCACCTTCGACGTGTCCGTGCTGACCATTGAGGATGGTATCTTCGAGGTGAAGGCCACTGCTGGGGACACGCATCTTGGTGGCGAGGACTTTGACAACCGGCTGGTGAATCATTTCGTGCAGGAGTTCCAGCGCAAGCATAAGCGTGATCTTGGCCAGAATAAACGAGCTCTGAGGCGCCTGCGCACCGCCTGTGAGCGGGCCAAGCGGACGCTGTCCTCCTCCACACAGGCCAGCATCGAGATCGACTCCCTGTTCGAAGGCATCGACTTTTACACCGCGGTTACGCGTGCCCGCTTCGAGGAGCTCAACGGGGATCTCTTCCGGGGCACCATGGAGCCGGTGGCTAAGGCGCTACGTGACGCCAAAATGGACAAGGGTCAGATTCATGACATTGTGCTCGTTGGTGGCTCTACAAGGATACCCAAGGTGCAACGCCTTCTGCAGGACTTCTTCAACGGCAAGGAACTGAACAAGTCCATCAATCCCGACGAGGCAGTGGCTTACGGTGCCGCCGTTCAGGCAGCCATTCTGCATGGCGACAAGTCAGAGGCTGTGCAGGATCTGCTCCTGCTCGATGTGACGCCGCTGTCCTTGGGCATTGAGACCGCTGGCGGAGTGATGACCACGTTGATCAAGCGGAACACCACCATACCCACGAAGCAGACGCAGATCTTTACCACTTATGCGGACAATCAGCCAGGTGTACTCATCCAGGTGTTCGAGGGCGAGAGGGCTATGACCCGCGACAATAACAATCTCGGCAAGTTTGAGCTCTCGGCCATTCCGCCGGCACCTCGAGGAGTGCCCCAGGTGGAGGTCACCTTCGATATCGATGCCAATGGGATACTCAATGTGTCGGCTCTGGAGAAGTCGACGGGCAAGGAGAACCGCATCACCATCACCAATGACAAGGGTCGGCTGAGCAAGGAGGACATTGAGCGGATGGTCAACGATGCGGAGGCTTATCGGCAGGCGGACGATGAGCAGCGCGAGCGGGTTAATGCCAAGAACCAACTGGAGTCATACTGTTTCCAGCTGCGCTCCACCCTGGATGATGAACAACTGCGCTCCAGGATTAGTGACACCGATCGGGAGACCATACAGCAGCGCTGCAACGAGACCATCGCCTGGCTGGATGCCAATCAGCTGGCCGAGCGGCAGGAGTTCGAGCACAAACAGCAGGAGCTGGAACGCATCTGCAGTCCGATCATCACGAGGTTATATCAGGGTGCCGGCATGCCTACGTCTCCACCTTCAGCCGGTGGTCCAAATCCGGGACCAACCGGCGGGTCTGGCCCCACCATTGAGGAGGTGGACTAGTAGGTGTTTCGGTTCCACTCATCGAGAGATCATTGCAAATTGTTTGTTAGAAAATTCTAAATATCTTTTATGGAGTTTAAGGTATATATTTTCAAACCCCTTAATGCAAATAAATCTTACTTGTCTGAGCTACTTTGGGTGAGATTTGAACTCCTTGATGGTTGCTCCTTCGCGTGGCATTAATTTAAATCATTTATTAAAAAACCCTTTCACAAACAAGTAAAACTCCATTACAGCATTTGTTGAAAACACAAAATTTGCATTTATTTCTATATATAGTAATATATATAATGTACTCCCGAACACATCAACCAACACTGAACTCCAGATATGTGTGTCTACTCATCGTATGTATAGCATAGTTAAGTACATAATATACGCATATATCTATGCATATATTTATGCTGTATAGTTTTGTGTATATGTAACGATCTTTAGATAGCTGCTTTGAGAACGGATCTATATAGGATAGGATACGATAAATCATGGAACCAAACGATGTAGATAGATAGAGAACATCAACTACGGTCAACAACCTTGGTATCAAACATTAAATGATAATACTATTACCATCTCGAGTAAGTATAGTAATGTACATTTGATCTACACATATTCGATTATTGTATTCACTTGAAACGCCTCTTGTAGAAAAATTCGTAAATCGTAAACTAAAATTGACCTTGCTCCGTCCAGCGTTCAGTGAGAATCCTGTTCCTACTATTCCTATTCCTATTCCTATGTCTAATCCTATTCCTATTCCTACAAAGAAACTGGCATGACTGGCCTCCCCCTTTTACGCTATTAACGCTTTTGATTTATTATTATTATTTTCGTGGCGATGACTTAACATAATTATTGATTTAGCTAGAACCATCTGGCGTAATATATTCCGATTCAGTGTTCCATCGCGAGTACTTACTGCTTTGTATAAACCGATTTTGTATAAATTCATCTTGCGTATTTTGTATCAGTACTATCTCCACTAACGATAAACACTAGGACTAAGGTTTAAACTAATCAATTCATGGTTGATCTCTACAATTAAGTACATATAAGTGAAAAGCCAAGTGGCGTTGCCAATTCTCTAGCCGGGCATCCATTCGATTTTCGCTTGTATAACTTCTACAAAAATTGTATGACAATATACACACACGTATAAAATGTTGGTTTCCTTTTTTTTTCGATTTCGATTTCGATTAGCTAGCTCCCTACAATAGGTATATGATACACACAAAGGCTGTCTAATTTGAGAACTCACTTAGGTTAGTCTTAGCCTAGCTCTGGGGGTTACTTACTATGTTACACATAATCTAAGCTGTCGCGACTACAACACGTTTGACGTTCAATTTGAATTCATTTAAATCAACTCAACTCCGACTCGTGGGTGCGACTCCGACTATAACGCAAATTAGAGGAGAAATCTTTGATTACTTACGAGCTAAGTACAACGCAACGACTAACTTTAAAGGGCCTCAGTCGAGGAGCTGCAGGGTCCGTGGTAGCCATTAGCACTGCCAGGAGATGACTGCGAGGCAGCTGCTCGCAACACGGCCCCCATTCCTGAGGCTCCTGCTCCGGCTCCGGCTCCTGTTATGCTTCCTGATCCCGATATCTGAGGCTGTATCAGCTGCTTAAAGGTAGTTTCCAGTCTGGGTGGATACTGTGGATGGATTGATATGGAATACATTTTATATTTCTTTTCATAACTTCACAATCTTAAGTAAATATTAAAACCCACCTCCTGATTCTCATCCAGCGACGGCAGCAGCTCGTCCAGGGAGTTGGGCGTTAGTGGACTTGGCGTGGGCATGGTCACCCGACTGAGGGCACCATGCTGGAGCAGTGCCTCACCGATGACAATCTGCGGCTTGTTCTGGGTGAGATGTGCCTGCTGCTGCAGCCGGGCCAGACGCAGCTTCATCTCCTGCCGGATCTCCTTCTGCTGCACCTCCTTCTCGAAGCGCATCATGCTGTAGCTGCGCACCGAGGAACTAGTGCTGTGCACCGACGCTAGACTTGGTCTTCGAGAACCTGTGAATGAAACGAATCAAATGGGACAGGTGTCATACAGGTGTATCAGGCTGGTGGGGGGAAGGGAATGTGCGGATGGGTTTGCTGTATCAAAATTGAATTGAGTTTATCGGAAGCGTTTTCGTTGGGAGAATCGGCGTGGGAGAGAAAGATAGTAAATAAGTTATTTATGAAAGATATATATAATATATTTATATATATATATAGATAGAGAGAGCGAGAGAGAGAGACAGAGAGATGCATAGCCACAGCATAAGATCATTCCGAAGCGTTTGGAAAGCAAGCTAAGCGAGTGCAAGCAGCAGTGCTCCCAAGCAGCCAAATCATTCGCAAAATATTGAAAGTAGTTTTGAATTCTAAGAGATAATCACGCGGACTGACTATATATATTATTTAAAAATTGAAAAAATGTATAGCTTAAATAATTAAAAAGTTGTGTAACTTTTTAAATTAACTTTTCCTTTTGAAAATGGAACTATACAAGTATGTACAAACTAACCCCAAATGCTGATTCTGTTGTGTTATTTAAATAAGTTTAAGGAAGACCTTCTTGCTTAAGTCTTGAATTACTGAACTACAAGTCAAGTAAATATTTATCCTAAGCTTTGAATAAATTAATATTTCTTACTAAATTACAATATTTACTATGCGACTATCTTTCATTTTTAAATTCTTAGTTGCTAAAAAATAATTTAGATTATAAGTTTAATAATTAACTCTACCAACAAGAGTAATTCGTTAATATTTTCCAATTCTAATAAACCTTAAAACTAGAAATTTAATAGTAATCCCAGATTTATCACACGCTCATCACTCATCCGCCGTGTGGTACAGGCATGGAACCCCTTCTTTCTACGAATCTCAAGGACTTTTGTATCAGTTTAGAGGATAAAATCGTAGATAAACACGAGTGTTTCATACAAAACAAAGTTTGCTTGTTTCAAGATGCAGCAGCAGCGGCAGGCATCTTAAGTTCGGAAATTCAAGGCGCTCGAGAGGAAGAAAAGTTGAGGATGAAGAAGAAGTAGTGGTAGAAGTAGAAGAAGCAAAGGACATTCACATATAAAGTTGCGGGGTTAACATATATATAGAATATATTATATAGAAGGAAATTTTCATATCGTTTATCGATTGGTGTGTGTGTGTGTGTGTGTGAGTAAGTCTGTGTGTGTTTGGGGACTCAACCGAATAAGTTCAGGCAAAGGTCAGCCGGAAGGTTGAGAGTGGCGTGGCGAATCCTGACAGCAGACAAGTGTCCTTTTTCTGCTGTCAGGCTGCATGCAATTGCAATTAGTTTGTGTGTGTGTGTGTTCTTTGTGTTACTAATTTGTTTGTAGTTTTTCTTAATTTGCATTAGCTACAATATCGTGTTCAGTTATATGCTTTAAATATTGTATTAATTATTATTATTATAATTTCGTGTAAGTGGAAGAAGTTGGGAAAGATTTTCTATGAACATAGTCACCGCCATATTGCTTCAATATCATCTTGTCGAAATTTTTATTATATATTTCCATCAAAGTCCTCAGTAGCTCTTGGTTTTAATTCGATCCTTTATTTAATTTGTATTATTCCTGATTCTTAGGCATTGTCCTTTGTGTCGAAATTTTTATTATATATTTTCCATCAAAGTCCTCAGTAGCTCTTGGTTTTAATTCGATCCATTATTTAATTTGTATTATTCCTGATTCTTAGGCATTGTCCTTTGTGGAGAAGTTGCTTACAAAATATTCTCGATTCATTTATTCTGTGGCTAAAAGTGCGCGTGTGTACGTATTTCGCCAAAGACTATATAATTAATTGATGTTAAATTTTAAATAGAAATTTTCTTTATGCATCATATTCTTTATATAGTCCTTGATGTCGCTGTGTCTGTGGTGGTGTATGTGTTTATTTATTTATTTTTTTGGCAACGATAGGGAAAGTAAAATAATGTATTGGCAACATATCTTTGTATGTGGAAACAGAGAGGGAGCTCGATAGGCACACTTAACATCGATCATCAAGTTCAACGCAAAATTAGTTTGGTTTCTCATCTAAACAGAGACAGAGTATTCAATTCAATTTAAAAAACACTAATTAATACAAGCAGGGGTAAGGGAAATGGGGATAATAACCAACGCCAATAATGTACACAAATTAAATTTAAAAGTTAGTTTAAATTTATGTGAATGCAAATGTCGGAGAATGAACCCAATTTAGCGAGAGTTGTTTCCATGGATTTAATACATTTCCTGCTAATTATTTATGCGGTGAGCAAAAAATGAATGATTTCCCCTTTGGTTACTCATTAAGTTAGTTTCCTGGGTGTGTACGAAAAGAAAAAATGCATGTAAATTATGCGAGGGATTTTACTGAAAGTTTTTCTTTAGGCAAAAAAAAATAATAATTTAATTCACTGGAAAAAAGGGTAAAATGCCAATTCCATTTAACTGCTATGAGTACTTATTACAAAAAGTTACATAATTTTCATTTGTGTTTTATTATTCAAAGTTTGCCTTTGGAATGTTTTATTTACTGAAAAACAAACAACTTAACTAGAAATTCAACAAATATTAAAAAAAGAAACACTACTGATATGAATCCTTATAAGTTTCTTTGGAATTTGTTTAATAAAAATACTCATGACTAAATGAGAAACGTAAGAAGAGCACAAAGAAATAATTTAATTTAATATTGAATTAGGCTGAATAGACCCCTTCTACCGACTAAGTACACGTTAATCACCCCATTAATTAATATCTCACCCATAAGAAAAGGAAAAGTACTATATAAACCTGGCGGACAGGACCTCAAAGTATCTCTTACAAAGGACATAGGATGGATGCAACAATGGAACAGATACGAATAGCAAATAATGGCGCTTGTTTCTGGTGTGTGTGAGGGAGTGTTGCAAGCTGTTCCTGGACAAATGATCGACTTGGGGATGACGATGCGAATGAGGGAATGGTCCAGACCGGATGCGGATGCAGATGCGCCGTGACTGATGTTTGATGTTTGATTTACCGCAAATCGGGGCGTTTCACTCGCCGGCGTGGGCAGTGCGCCAATTTGCAGGTGATGCAGCTCGGCGCCAGTGGCATATCCGCCGCTGGAGTCGACGCCATTGGTGTCGGCATCGCCGTAACCACCAATTGCACCGAAGCCATAGCCATAGCCATGACCATGGACGCCACCCGGATCGCTGTCGTTATGATGAGGGACTGTGCCGTGAGGATCTATGCTATGCGGACCGCACTCATCGTCCTCCTCATCATCCTCATGGCTCCTACAATTATCAATGCCATTCATGCCCAACAACGCTCTAAATCTATCCTGATTCCTCGATCTCGCCGGCGACAGCTCGAAGCTGAGCAGATGCCGCTGGTGGTTCAGTTGCTTCTGCAGCTGGCGGTTCATCGAGAGCGTGCTCTCGCAGCTGCGGCACCCACTTCCGCCGCCACCACCGCCACCACCACCACCGCCAGCTCCACTGCCACTGCCATTTTCATCGAGATCATCCCGCGAATGCTGGCTGCATCCCGCTCCGGATGTGTGACGCGACGAGGCGCGAGAATTCTGTTTGGACACCGCCGCTATGTGACACGATATGAGCAATATGGCGGCCGATCTAGCCGCACCTGTACGAGACGTCGACACCAGGATGCCCTTTGAGCCGCCAGCGCCGCCAGCTGCTCCCCCGCCACCACCGCCGCCTCCAGTTCCTCCTCCTCCACCGCCACCGCCACCTCCACCGCCTCCGCCGGTTACTCCACCCATCGAGGCACGTCGGTGGCCATAGGAGCCAATGGATCCTGTCGACCGAATGCTGGAACGTGAGGATGGACGCGCCGAGTGAACGGTCAGCGGTATTCCTGTAATGAAAATATCTATTCAAGGAATGCGAATATTTTAAATCTTTTCGGTTTGATCCTATAATTCAATAGCACTCTGCAAGGATATATAACTTTCGTCTTTTCAAAGTTAATTTCCTCTCTGGTTTATATCAATTTAAACCTGTAAGAAAAGGGACCTATATCCAATGTCTCACCTGTATCGCTGGAGTAGAGAATGGGCGGCGGAATGCTGGCATCTCCGTAATTTCGATGCCGCGGATACTTTGTCTTGCTGAACAGATGCAACACCATACAGATGAGCCCGGCCAGCACGGCAATGCCCGTGGAGACGCCCAACAGTGTGGGCAGATCCGAGCTCAGTTCGCTGAGATCTGTCAAACATTATTTATTAATTTCTCATCTGCCTTAAAAGCAAACGGAGACACTCACCTGGCGTGCAAAAGACCCTTCTCGTTGGCTTCACATAGCTGACCGAATGGAAGCCGCTGGCACACTGGCACATCGCGTTATGCCGCACCTGAACACAGAGGGAGTTCTCATCGTTGTAGATGCACGTCTCATCGTAGAAACACTGATCGCCCAGTTTTTTAGCTATGAAAGTAGAGGATTGGTATTTAATTGAATTTAATTAATTCACATGTATTTTTAGATACTTACGTTTGGCGCAACCCTTTATCAGTCCAAGCTGCACGGGATAGTTGCGCTCACAGGTGCAGGTCTGCGTCTCCTTGTCGCAGGACACGTGCAGCAGCTTGACGTCACACCTCTGCTCGTTGCACGGCGCCCCGATATATTTCCCCTTTGCTGCAATGCGACAAGTGAGTGGTTTTTAGATGAACAATTAATAATCAATATTAAGATAATGTTATTGCCCAGCCTAGTCTTTGCATTTCAAGACCATGTTTAAGGACCTTCAACTAAATCCCATCCATGATAAATTGCATGCACAAGTCCTGCACTCAATCGTTGTTTCTGTATGTATCATATCCACAACATATATATAAAATCTGTTTACAAATATTAAATCCAATTCCATTAAAATCCAATATTATCTGGCTACACATGAGGGTTTTTTGGGCTGCCACGTAATACTATAAGCGACCCACTCTGTGTGCCGTGTGCTATTTGGTAATTCCCGCATCATGGCCAAAATAAAATGGATGAATCCATGAATCATCCCGCACCGAGTTCCGGACAGAAGCCAAGTGCTGTACAGCTGCGGCGGATGTGCCAGTGTGCCAGGTGGACAGTGGATGCCAAAAATGAAAGTTAAATACAACAGCGGCCAGTGGATGTTGTGCAATTTATGGTTTCATGGTCTCCGGGGAGCTTGCTTTTGGGACCAAAGGTCAATAATGCAAACTAACGAACTGAAGTCCTGGCCAAGAGAGAGAGAGCGAGCACTTTCCCAGCAAAAATATTCGTTTATATGCTACTGTGTTTGCTGCCCGCCACAAATATTCATTTCGTAAATAGAATTATTTATTATTTAGAGGGAGAGCCAGATAAGTTTTAAAGGATATAAATGGGAAAGAATTTCTTTGGATGCTTCATCGTTTAAAGGTATTTTCAATTTTCATTCTTTAAGAATTCTTCCTTAAATTAACCAATTTTTAAATTAATAATCTTAATCCTGGCACTCACCTGACTTATTATTAAGCAAGGCCTCCAGGTCATCAACGTCATCCGGATAACTGCCATCGTAGTCATCGTCAGGCACATTGGCGGCATCACGTTTTCGCTGTCGCTTCTCGAGCGGATTGGCCTCCTGTGCCTCGACTGCTGCTGCTGCTGTTGATGATGTCCTGTCCAAGGCTAGTCCTGAGGACAGATTCACTGCCGTTGCAGCTGCAGAGGGGTCCGAGGACGAGGCCAGAACGGAGCCGGATACGGAGGCATGGAGCAGCAGGAGGCAGCCGTAGAGTAGCATGGCCTGGCCCAGCTGCATGGCCATTAAGTGATGTTGCTGCTGCTGCTGTTGTTGCTGCTGCTGTTGTTGCGGTTGCTGTTGCAGTTGCAGGGCCATCAGCTGCAGTCGCCGCAGTAGACGGGGCAGCGTTAACTTCGCCATTTTGTCATTTTCACGCCGGCTGCCGGGCTTCTCAACAAATTCGCGATTGTTGTCAACTTTCGCCATTTGGCCGAGAAGTTTCCGCCGCTGCTCGCTGTTGACGGTTTCAGTTACAATTTTGTGTGTTTCAGTTTCCGAGTTCCAAGTTTCTGTTTAGTTTTTTGCTTTTGATTCAGTGATTGTGGTTGTTGTTGTTGCGACAAATTGGCCAAACCCTGGTGCACATTACGTATACGTCATGGCACACATTACGTATACGTCGCCGGTCACCCGACGCCCTTGCTTGTGGCAATATTTAGCCTTCTTTTCCCGCTGCCTGCCGCTGTCGAGTGGCAAACTTGAGAGCTGCCTCCGCGGCATGATAATTTTATATAATTTCCCCGCGCTGCCACGGAACACTTGCCGCTGCGGTCAGCAGCGTCATCGTCATCATCATCATCATCATCATCCTTTTGGAGTGACCCACTAATGTGTGTTGCATGTGGTGCAGCTTGGCCGCTCCACTCTCCCTTGCACCCGCCTAGCTCCTGATGGGCATTAATTCCATGCAAGGCGGTTAGGATTTATGGCACGAACTTTTCAAATCTGGGTTGGTTTCTCTCTGGGTAGCTCCTCTCGCTCGTTAGTTCCAAACTGAAATCGCATGGAAGGAAAAAGGTCAAACACAATAGAGATTGTACTAAAATATATACTAAAATGGTCATAAATAATTTGAGCAATGCGTGCCATCGCTTTAAATAATCGCTTGCATTAAATGCTTGCTTGTTATAAATGTAGAGCAATTCTGAATGCTGGTAAATAATTATAAAATAATAAAAGCACACCTTAATCTGGTTAATCACAATCAAGTTATTTAAAATGCAGTTTAGTTATGGATTTATAAAAGTTTATGTATACTCCTTAACTTTATTAGCATACTTTTGGCCACAATTTCCTACTTTATCTGTCACCTCTAATGAGCAAAATAAGAATTTTAAAGACTTGAGTAAACATTAAATCGTTTGCCAGATATTCCTCCCATAAAATCTAAAATAAATTAATAACGTAGAAAAGCCATACACCGTTTGGCAGCTAAGTAAACTAACGAAACATTTTACTCTCTATATTTCCATACATGTATTTATTTTGCATTCAAAATATTGACTCTGGAATTGGGGGTAAAAAAAAGAAAATAAACCAAATATCCGGGGGTCTATAAAAACAAGCAATTTCAGGCTTTTATCGCTTAGATCACAAACTTCACTGAAGGCATAAAAATGAAGCTCCTACTGGTATTCACATTGGCTGTACTCATTGCCCACGTTGCAGTGGCCCAAGAACCCACCGATGACGACTATGAGGAGGATTTCGATGGTGGAGACGATACTGATGTCGATTCTGGAAGCGATTCAACTGATGACAACGGTTCGGGTAGTGAGGTAGATGGAAATGGTGATGATGCTGGTGATTATACTGGTGACGATACCGGCGATGACACCGATGACATGACTCCTGCTCCGGCTAAAAAGCCCAACAACAACTCCACCAAGAAGGGCAGAAGGAATGGAGCTCGTAGAAACAACAACAACAACAATAGGGGCACTAAGACCAACGCAGCGGCCAAACGTCGTGCGGCTAATAAAAAGACGGCCAAGAAGCAGGCACCTGTTGCGGCCAGGAAGCGTAACAATGCGGTCGCTAATAGACGCCGTCGCTCTGGTTAATTAGCTTTAAGCAAAACTACTTCAGAGAAAGGTTAATAAAATTAAGTGTCCTAAAAAGTTGCTCATTAAAAACTTCCTTTGTTGAATTTATTTAAGAACCAAATACTATTGTTATTAAAAGTTATCAAAACCGAATTCTTCTAAGAAGAATGGTCTAATTAAGCGTAGGTGATTGTTTATGATATCTCCGACTCTATAAATCATATATATTCTTGATCAGCCAAGCGAGTCGATTTAGCCATGTCTGGCCAAAAATAAAATGGTTTTGAAATTTCAAAAACGATAAGGGGTTACATCATTAAAATTGTCAGATATTGACAAAATTTTGAATATCTTAAAATTGTATATTGAGTATGCAGATTTATTAACCTAATAAAAACTAGCACAAAACCGCTTTCCGAATTAAAATTAATGCTTTTTTGGCTTAGTTATACTTTTTTCAAAACTTTAATTTGTCAAAAAAATGATCATATAAATTCTTGATAAATATTGTTTTAAAAAATGCGAATATTTAAAGCCGACAGATGATCGATTTTCTATTTGATTCTAGAATCCAATTGCAAACTGCAAGGGTATATAAGCTTCGACTTCTTGAAGTTAGTTTTCTTTCTTATTTAAACATAAATCTTAATCCACTTTACTGGTATTTACCATAACAAAAATCTATGACAACTAGTTTCTATAGTGTGACTTTACTCCTATTTAAGTCAGATTCATCTACTATCTTTTATTTTCGACTGTAATTAATATTTATACTCAAAAACCTCTCTTTAACCATTTTAAGTCCCCAAAAAAATGTACAAAAACACTAAAAGCACACACAGGTGTTTTAGTCTACAAATAATGAAATTAAAGAATTAAAACGCAAATATCTATCTAGATAAATATTGTAGAAAGCTTTATATGTGTCTATTATTTTTGACTGACAGGAGAAAAACTATAAATACTCAAGTGTTCAAGTCTTTTCACCTTAGAAGTGTACTTAACGACTTTTCTATCGGTTGGTTGAAGGCAAAACAAAAATGAAATTGTTGCTAGTTTTTTCTATATCCCTGATGCTGGTTGCCTACGTGGCTGGAGCAGCTGAATCTACCGATCAATACGATGATGATGAGGATTATGACTATGACTATTATGATGATTATGAAGATGATACCACCACCACTGAAAAAAGTGCAGGAACTCCCACAACAACCACTGAAAGGAATGCTCCAGCCCCACCTGCAAGTCCTCGTGCGACCCCACCTGCAACTCCTTCCGCTCCTGCAACCACTGGAAATGCCAACAGTAATTCGGGTTCAGAGGAGGAGGAGGATTATAATTACAATGATTATTCGGATTCAGACGATTATGATTCTGTAACCTCAGCCGAGTCCGATCAAGATGACAGTGCATCCAGTGATTCCGCCAGCAACTCTCCACCCAAGGCAACGACTGCCGGCAAGAAGAATGCGAACCGTCGACGACGCAGGCGCACCACTATTGCACCAAGACGTCGCGCTGCCAATGCCGCCAACAAGCGCAAGGCTACGCCTGCCACACCCGCCAAGAGGCAACAAGCCGCAGCCACCAAGAAGCAGACACCTGCAGCAGCCAAAAAGCAGACACCTGCTGCAGCCAAGAAGCAGACACCTGCTGCGGTTAAGAAGACACCTACCCAGAAGCGGACCAACGCTGCCGTCAACAACCGCAAGCGCTCAGGTTAAGCAACAAAACTCGGGTTCACAGAGTTGAGGAATATAAAGTTTGAAATTGAAATAAGATAAGACTTTATCTCAACTAAAAACCTTCTTGAAACAGAGTTATAAAAATATAAAATACAAGTTTAACAAACTCACTAAAATTGCAATATAATTTAAAGAACTTTAGCTTGTTATTTAGCTTGTGGGGATCAAACAGTTTCTTTACTTATTTTCTAATCACAAATCTTACAGCGCGGCTAAGTAAACACAGTTGGTTAGCTGCAGAGCTTTTGACAAAATAAATAAACTGAATAAATATCTACCAAAGATGGCTTAAAATGGAACCACACACAAAAGCTAGAATATTTCTAAATTTTAAGCGTTTTGCTGCATAGTTTAAGGGTCTAAAATAACATACAATGCATTTAGCCTTTTGTTTTTCTACTTAGTTGGCATCTATAAATAGTAATTACGTTCCTATATTCTCTACTCGTGCACATAAATGCACAGAGACACTTAATTACTGATGCGCACAGGCGACGGCGACAACTATGGCGATGGCGACAATTGTTTAATGGCGAAAGGATAACAAAAAGAGGGAGGTGCCGACAGCGTCATCGGCTGCTGCCACAATAGGACCATTGTTTTCAGTTTCAAAGCCGACGACATCCTGGTGGCAGAGTGGCATCGCCAACTGAAATCCCGTGTATCCAGTGTACGTCGCACACGAAAGCCACTCCGCATCCAAGTGTTTGTGCGCCCGAGAGAGATATCAGACCGTCAGAGCTCACACACTCACCCACCCACTAACCAGTGGCTAACTCGGAGGGGATTTTTTGAAGGTAAGAAGCAAGCCAAAATATTGATTTCAATGCTCTATTTATAGGGAAACTTTTCAGATATGAATTGAAAACTGTTGAAGACAAAAGATCCCTTTTAAATGAGTCCTGCAGACGCCACTGCAATCCCGTATATACGGCAACCGCTGTGGCAGCTTAGTGAGCCAAGTGTGGCAACAATCTGAATCATCGTTTTAGTTTTCCCTTTTTACAACACACATCATAAGGATTCGCCCAGGGAAAGGGTATATATTGGGCTTTCGGCTTCCGCACTATAAATATCTATGCATGTATAAAAAGATATATGTATAAAGGATATATCAGGAAATGACCAAAAACTTAAGCAAACATCAACTCATATACCGAAAAGATAACAGAAAGGGTAAATTTGTTAACCTTTTGTATGAAAAATAAACATAGGGCAGAAATAATTTTGAAAATTACATGTGAGAAGCAAAAGTAAACATTAAATATAAGAAAGAAACTATACAAATAATATATTTTTCCAGTCACTCTTTATATTTTTTAATCAATCCACTTTCCTTAACCTTTTTCTACAGGGTATACCTTAGTCGTTTCTGTACTATTTCCCTGTTACCAGCATCTACAATTGCAGATGATGGCTGGGCTCTCCGACATACATAGAAGCTATAGGTGGCAGCGTGGGAGGATATGGGCTGCTGTAATATCTGCTCCTGATGCCTTAAGAGGAAAATGTGATAATGCGCGCTAAACAATGAACAATGCAGAAATGGCATAAAAATAGCCAGAAGTGGAATATGAAGTGGGTGGCGGTGGCAGAGGGAATAATAATGGAAGATGTGTTTGGCTTCGAGGATGATGATAACGACCAGGATGATGGCGGTAGGTTGGGTCCGTCGGTCGGACGGTGGTGTTGGTCTTGTTAGCACTTACGATGATGTTGCTGATGATGATGGCAAGTGCCAGATATATGCAGATTGAAGGTGTGGCTGCCGACGTTGATGGGCACGCTTACCCTGATTGTAGATTGTAGATACTGCTTTTGACATTTACATGTTTGCATTGAGCATTTTTAAGTGGCCCAGAAATGTGTGAAATGAAGTGGAAATCTGGATAGCACGTGCTGACGAAAGCTTTTTAAAACAAAGTTAGATTAAATCTGAAGCAGTAGTTGTTACAAAGAAATATCAATGATTACTACTAGTTTAATTAACATTATCACAGTTTTACTCAATTTTAATAACAAAAATTGAAATTCTAATTCAGACATCTGAATTGGCCAACACGGCGTATGATTAATTTTCTAACAAATATATGCAAAATCAATCATACGCCATGTTGGACATTTCGGGGTTTTGCTTTGAACGTTTCTTTTTCAGAATTTAAATGTTATTAAGGTAAAATAAACCCCAAGCTAAAGTTTTCTTTACATTGGTTTTCAGGTAATCTGAACTATTTCACTTCATCCATAATTCCTATCTTTAACAATATCTAAAAACAATCCATCAAACTTTTTTGCCATTGCTCTCTTCTTGATTACCATCTTAAACGCCCAACAAAGACATAAAACTTCCTCCTTGTGGATATATGTATGTATAATTTGAAAAACAATTTGCATTTCCTCGAGGGCAATTTATTTGCCATTCCTTGGCAACGTAGAACAGAGAAACTAAAAGTTTCCGCACTCGATGAATGCATTTTCTCGTTTCTCTAACAAGGCATTTAGTTGGTAAAACAAAAATACGTGCACATATTTCTAAACCCAACTGCCGCTGCTGGGCAAAGTGTTTATGTAATTACGAACACGTTTAAAAAGGACCGAAAAGGGTTGGAGGGGAAAAATTGAGCGAGTAAATAGCAAAGAGCAGAGCAATTTATGTAAGTGCGAGATATTTTTATGTCTCGGCGAACCATTAAAATGTGCATAATGCAATTTCGCCCAGCACTTTGCATATAAATTTCCACCGGTTGAGGCAAAAAGCGGAATAGCGGAAATGCAAGTCCAATAACAAGCGGCGAGCACGGTAGAGCGGTGAAAAGGATACAGGGGGGTGGGCTTTGGTTTAGTGGACAATATTTACACTCGAAAACGAAGTTTATAATTTAAAAGCAAATACAAATACAAATAAATATAAATGAATATAATTATAAATTAAAAGACAATTTTGATTAACAGCTTTTTGGACAGTTAATAAACTTCACACTGTTAAGTATTATAACACAACTTAGACATTAAAAATATATCTAATTATTCCTACATCAATTTTAAATATTTAAATATGAATTAATATTATTTAATGATCTCCAATTCCCCATAATTTACAAACTTTAATTCTTTTTGCAGTGTACACCTTTGCAACGGCAATGTGAATGAACGCACGCCTGTGTGGGTGAATGGGGCGAATGCATGAGCTGGGGAGCAAAAGGGGTGGACGGGCTGTGTTACTGTAACGGTAACGGAAGCAACGAACGCAACATCATCCTGCATTCTGCATCACCGCCACTCGGCTCTCTCGGTCGGTTGGTCGCACACTTACTCTCACTCTCCCGCACCTTTCACCCTCAGCTCTCTCTCTCTCTCTTTTTCTAGAGCCGCGCGCCTGCCCCCAGAGAGTGTTGTGTTGGTTCTAGCGGTACATAAGACTTTGCGGAACATGCACTTGTGTGCGTGCCCGTGTGTGAGTGGACTCCTACTTTTAGGCACTGATAAAGGCGAATTTACATACGCCGAAATACCCAAATGCCCCTGCCCCTGGTCCTGTTCCTGCCCAACCCAACAACTGGGTTTCGGCCACGACTTTTGGCTCCTTATGTGTCGCCGATGCCGTTTTAAATGTAGGTTACACACAGCAACGCGCAGACACAAACACAAATCACGTTCACACACACGCACACACCACAGGCACAGGACACACGGGGCCCACATGCACGTGCATACGTGCAATATATTTTAGCACTTTCCGTTTTCCCTTCGGAGTATGTGTCTTCGTCGTCGTCCTGCACTAAGGTAATAAAAGATTTACAATTTCGGCCACATATATACACGAAACTATAGTATATAGGTGTGTAGTATATAGTGGGTGTTTTGCTTTTGTCTTTCGCTTTCGGTCCCCAAGTCAGCTGGACAGAGCGGCGACGAGTTTGCTTCCGTTCCCAGAAAACCAAAGTTGCCGCAGTCCGTGGCCCATAAAAGTATGCTACGAAATATAAACTATGCGCGGCTTACAGGAAGAACATTTCTGAAAAGTACGCCATTTTCCCTATCAGATTTTTAGATTTTAGAAAAAATAAGTACGTGAATCCTATTTTCCAGAGAAAGCAAGAAATTTTATCGTTTCAGTAAAAATTCAATGCTCTTATTTTACGTATTATACGCGTGCAGGATATTATAATTGTAGTTAAAAGCTTGTAACTCTGTGAAGGAATAATTTTTTTGGCAAAAAATTTAATTGTTTAAAATTATAGATTAAGTAGACAGATTTAATAACCTAACAAAAACTAACATAGGATAGCTTTCTGAATTAAAATTAACGTATTTTTTCTAAGTTATGAGATTTTTAAACTTTGGGTTGTGAAAAAAATACCAGCAAAAATATCGCGTTGCTATTGAATTAATAATTAAAAATTAATAAAACCAAATATTTAAATATCCTTGTCTTCTCACAAAAAACCCTATAAACCAATTATTTGCTCGTTATACAATTAATGCATCTTTTTTCCTCATTTCAAGTGTCATTTCTGTTTCATTTTAATTCCCAATTAGGCCTACAAAGGTAGTCAAGGCTTTTTGCATCCTGGCCTGTGCGCTACTTGAGCTCCTTGTACTTTTCCACATACATAATTTAAATTGTTTTTGTTGACTTTTTGATGACTGTGTGCTCGTGTGTGTTTGTGTGTGTGCGAGAGTGTTTTGCAGCATAGAGAAAACGTAACACAACTGTGACAAGGGCAGGAAATGCTTCGAAGTGGCTATAATACAGATTCGTACATATGTATTGCATGTACATTCAGCTATGTATATAGTATAGAGTGTCTATGTAAAGATGTACACATGTTTGTCGACGAGTTCTTGTTTTTCGATGGCAAAAACAACCATTTTCGTTGCCAATCAGCGATAAATCAAACTTTGATTTGATTTTCAGACACGTTTCTACCTTTTTTTAGTGCCAATTACCGGGGTGGCATTGTATTCACCTTCGCCAGCGAATTAAGAACTTTCACATAATTCGCCTAACTTTGCGCTTTAATCATTTAACTTTTGCTAATTTTGGCGCAGGCGAGACTTTCTGCACACACAGACACACATAGATCCGGGCGGAGTGATTCGATTAAATTTTTAATGCAATTTTAATTGCCACTCTGCAGCGCGCACTTGTACGGGTTGAAGCACCTTAATCCACGTCCTACACATTCCCAGTTATCATCACTGGGTGCTTGTGTCTAGAGGTGTCTAAGTTCACGTTGGAAAAAATGCCTCGCGTCTTCCCGGACTGCCAACCGTGTGAACTGCGAACTTAACGGAACTGGACTGGACTAAAATCAGCCGACGAGTCGGGGCGACCAGTAACCATAAAAGACGATACGTGGGCGATGACGACAACGATGCTGCTGGTGCTGCTCCTTCGGCAGTTCCTTGATGACATCTGCCTCGGCAACTCTCTCTTTCGGCTCTCGGAGGAGCGAGAGTGAGAGTACGACCCCAATGCAGGATATATTGGTGCAGGCTCGCGGCCACAGGACGATTCGGTGAACAAAATGAGAGAAATGAACGAGTGGGAAACGGATTAGAGCGCGTCCTTTCCGATACTTTAAAGTCAGCTGTTTGGTGAAACTCATTCCCTTCAGGAAGTCTTATCTCTAATGTAGGTTTTGAGAATATCGAACCTTTATTAGTTTTATTTCATAAACTTGTTATATCTGCTAATAATATAAATTTTAAAAAGGTATCAGTTTTCACTGATTTTACATTTTTGTCACTTAATATTGATAATTTTTACAATCTATTTTACTTACATCACATGGTATTTATATTTATATTTTATTTATTTTATTATTTAATATTTTTGAAATGTAAAATATCACAGCTTTATTTATTTACGTCGTTGAAATCCCAAGATGTGGAAATAATAAGTCTTAAAGCCTATTGGACAGAAATATCTTAAAAATATATTGTTATTTGTTTGACTTTTTGTCTTTGTATTAACAAAGAAAATTAAACCTTTCAAAAACAAATTAATCTAACAAAAATGTTCCCCATGCCAGGCTTTAAGAGTACCTGTTATAATAATTCAAAAAATACCTGATAATCTAACAGGTCTGGAAAAAAGCTTTCCCCACGATGAATACCAGCTACCCGCTGGACAAGTGGTAATCTCTACCATTCATGGTTACGGTATCTCTACTTCTTTGTACTGTTGTTGTTTTTATATTAAGCCGGCAGAAAAGATTAATTCTCCGAAGAGCTAAGTTCAGAAGTGATTTCTAGCTGGATCGTTAAAGTTGATAATCCAGACGGTATATTCCAGTGTGTTCCACAGAATGCAAGTGTTTTTAGCATTGGCCCTGCTAGCGGGCTTGGCTTTGTCGGGTAAGTTTACATTAGATTGCAATTAGAAAAATAAGTTTAGTCAAACAAAGAGAACAATGATATGTGCGTGTGTGCGTGATGATTATAAACTAATGCAGTTGTAGATGTACATTAATAAATACGGTGAAAATGTTAGCATTATTGACCACTTCTATGAAATGCAGATAAAGTTCTAAATATCTCATAATTTTTTCTTAGTCTTTTAATGATATGCTTGTAGTATTTAATTTACCTAAAAGACAAGCTTAATGCTAATGCAAAAATGTGATTCTATTAATTTGACCCCAGCTGTTACTTATGTATGTATGTCAACTATGGCGTGAGCTTGCATCGGAATGGCTGCCCTTTACCGTTTGATTATGCCGAATTTAATGTTATTTTCTATTCTCTCATCACCTTTCTCCGAAAAACAGCGGATGCCACGAAGCCGCCGCGCTGGGACCCCAACTACATAGTGAAGGGCACCCTGTACATACCCTACGCAGAGATCTCAGAGCCTTTCTATGCTTGGTATGACAAGAATACCAAGCGCTCCCGCATCGATTACTACGGCGGAATGGTAAAGACTTATCAGCTGGCCGGCGAGGGTCAGTACGGTACGATGCTGAAGCTGGCCCCGATCACCACGCTGACGGAGCAAAATAAGCTTACCTGCCTGCAGGTTAATGGCACTGCCGACCAGGTCGTGGAGATCCAGAGCATATTGCCCGATGCTAAACCCTTCCAACTGGTGGGCACCGAAACCTTCCTGGGCTTCACCTGCGATAAGTTCCGCCTGGAGTCGGTAATTGGACAAAAGAAGAATGTGTACACGCTGTGGGTGAGATATAAGAAGTCACCGCATTATCCCGCCAGCCGGATGCCCATTCCCGTGCGCTACGAGATGAGGGGTTACAACACTTTGCTAGGCTCCCACTACGATCATTACTATTTGGACTATGATAGCTACGAGCACGACGATATTCCCAATGAGGTGTTCGAAATCGACGATAGCCTCCAGTGCGTGGGATTCCCTGGACCCGGAACCGGTCATTATGCCACCTTTAACCCAATGCAGGAGTTCGTTACCGGAACGGAAGAGCATGTGGACAAGGCCTTCCATCACTTCAAGCATAAGCATGGTGTCTCCTATCGCAGCGATGTAGAACACGAGCACCGCAAGAACATCTTCCGTCAGAATCTGCGCTACATCCACTCCAAGAACCGAGCCAAGCTCTCCTACACGCTGGCCGTGAATCACCTGGCCGACAAGACCGAGGAGGAGTTGAAGGCACGACGCGGATATAAGTCATCGGGCGTCTACAACACCGGCAAGCCATTCCCGTACGACGTGTCGAAGTACCAGGATGAAATTCCAGACCAGTATGATTGGCGACTATACGGCGCTGTTACCCCAGTAAAAGGTGGGTGTGCCACATTCCGATCCCTCTAAGTAATCTATCTCAACCCTTTATTTCTCCAGATCAATCCGTGTGCGGTTCCTGCTGGTCCTTCGGCACCATTGGCCATTTGGAGGGCGCCTTCTTCCTGAAGAACGGCGGTAATCTGGTGCGTCTGTCGCAGCAGGCCCTGATTGATTGCTCCTGGGCGTACGGCAATAATGGCTGTGATGGTGGTGAGGACTTCCGCGTCTACCAGTGGATGCTGAAGAGCGGCGGAGTGCCCACCGAAGAGGAATATGGTCCGTATTTGGGCCAAGACGGGTACTGTCATGTCGACAATGTAACACTAGTGGCACCTATCAAGGGATTCGTGAATGTGACTTCCAACGATCCGAATGCCTTCAAGCTGGCCCTGCTGAAGCATGGACCCCTCTCGGTGGCCATTGATGCCTCGCCCAAGACATTCAGCTTCTATTCTCATGGCGTTTATTATGAGTCGGAGTGCAAGAACGATGTGGACGGACTGGACCATGCCGTTCTGGCCGTGGGCTATGGCAGCATCAATGGAGAGGACTATTGGCTGGTGAAGAATTCGTGGTCCACCTACTGGGGCAACGACGGCTACATCCTGATGTCCGCCCGGAAGAACAATTGCGGTGTGATGACCATGCCCACCTACGTGGAAATGTAGGATGACGGTCCATCCTATTATTATTCTCTGTAAACTTTTTACTATCCCGCCCCGAGGGCGCTAAATATGCAATAAATTTTAATTCTTTTGTAACCAGAGTCTTATCGCTCCTTTTGTTGCTCAGAGGAGCGGCTTATTATAGCTTTATAGTTCGTCTTGCAGCATTATCTTGAGGTTCTTTGATGTTGCCTAAGTTCATTCTAGAGCACGGAGATAAGCTCAAAAGACAATGACCGGTGTCCAACTCTGAACATTGTCCAAGTTGCTCAACTTTTATCGGGGTTGTTGTCATTCCATGACAAATAGCTTATAAAGAGAACTATACATCAATACATATATTCTTATGCATATAAAGCTAAATCTTTTCATTTTATATTCATTATTTATTAAAACAAAAACTTAGGAAGCTTTCTCCGGAAAGCCCAATATTGTATACTCCTACAGTTTGCAATTAAATGAGTTGTCTTTTTTAAAAACGATAATAACAAAGCCGGAAATGCATTATTTTAAAACAACTTTTAAATTTACATTTTTATTAATTTAAAAAACCAGCATATGGACTTTAATTTAATTTAATTTATTTGATTTAAAGGGTCGGGAATGACTCGTTTACTGTGTTGCAATCTTTGGACTTATATTATAATACCCTGCAAGGGTTTAAAAATTTAAAAAAAAACCCTTGAAATGTTTTTACATTCCAAGCTTATTTTGGTTCTATTACTTAAAGATTAATATATTAGTAAAAAAGAGAAGGCAAATTTAAAAAAAAATCGAAATTTTATTAGTAGACATCTAAATAAAATTAACTGATTAAACCAAAATCATCAAAATATGTCGTTATATAAAATTAAAATATCTTTCCAGGGATGGTAAAGTACTAAAATTGTTATCTACATGTAAGTTATCTACATGTCAAATGTGCGTAAATAGTGCAAAAAAGATGTTTTAAAAAACAATATCTAAACATCGATACTATCGATACTGTTCCGATTTTTTGCCAGCTATATTTCTTTACCGAACTTCAAATAAAAAAGTTAAAGTAATTCTATGGAGGAACTAAAAGAAATGTGCCGCGTCTGCATGGCTGAGGCGGAGGACCTACTGGACATGTACGACAGGGATAAGACCCACATAGACGACCGGCTGTCCCAAGCGCTGAAGAAGTTGGAGGAACCTGAACCTAGTCTTCCAGAACTGCTAAAGGAATGCAGCCCAATTTGCGTTGAATCGGACGATCCATTTCCGAAAAAGGTCTGCGACCCATGCCTAAGGAAGCTGCGTGACGCTGTCTATTTCCATCGGCGGTATGCCAAGAGCATGGACTACATAGGACGCGTCAAGTTGGAGAAGAAAGACCAGGAAATCCTTAATGACATCGAGCAAGAGGAATGGGATCTGAAGAGCGAAAACCCAGAAGAGGCAGACGAGGATCAAGAAAATAAGGTTGAAGGTGAAGATGATGATGAGGATGTTGAGGATGATGAAGATGGTGAGGATGATGACGATGAGGATGAACTATACAAGAGCGAGGAAGAATCAGACGACTTCGAGGACGATGAAGATGAGTATCTGCCAGTGCCAAAAAAGCGTAGGACCAAGCCGGGTTCACTTCAATGCCAGGACTGTCATAAAACATTCACCACACAGGCCCAACTGACCATACACAGCGCCGACCACAACAAGGAAGCCACCAAGCTGAATGGCACAAACACCCGTCCAAAGCGCCGCTCCGCCAAATACTAGCATGCCGGGAGAGACTCAAGACTTTAGTTTAAGTGCGCAGATCAAGCCAAATATGTATATATAAGGAATAATGCCTAGAATAATGTAACCATCTTAATGGAATAGAATTTAAATCTCATGTTCAAGACAAAAAACTGTATGTAGTAGGTTTTGCCTTCAAAAATTGATCATCTCTTTAAAAAAACTGACAAAAGACAAATTGATTTGTTAATGATTTTCTTATAATTAAACTTTACATTAAAATAACAAATCAAATCCATTTTTTATGTAATTCTTTAAATTAATTCATTGAAAATAACATCATATTTTAAAGAACATTTTATTAACTTATTAACTTAAAAATAATATATGTATAACAGATATAGACTACTTTGCGCGGAATGCAGAACTCGCTGAGCGATCTACTTGGTGTTGTACATGGAGGCAATTGCCGGATCCTCGGTCTCGTAGATGATCAGCACGTCGCGAAATTTGTCCAGCAGCTGCAGCAGCTGGGAGCGCCGCAAATTCTCAAAGTACATGATCTCCTCCAGGTGGTGTTCGCTCTTAAAGTAGCCCATTTGATAGAGTTTCACTAACAGCGACAGATCGTCGACATTGGCGGAGGCAGGAATTCGACGGATGGCCGCTCGATCGGCATCGCTGAACACATGCAGGAGCTCCTTAAGCTTTTGTTCGTCCTCCATGGAGTCCAGGCTGTCGCAGTTATCCGTGCTCATCGAGGCTGTGATGCTGAAGTTCGATTTATGGCTGGAAGATGGTTGCACAACTATGTTGTCGGAGGCCAGCGAGGATTGGTCTTCGGAAACGTCACGTCGATGGCTGCCGATAGAAACCGTTGGAACGGGCAGTGGCTGGCTGGACATGCTCAGCATTGATCCGCCCGGATCATGCTCTTGATCCTCCTCCTCTTCTGCATCCTCGTCGTCGCTGGCGGCCTCACGCAGCTGATTGCTGCAAGACGCAGAGTCACCGAACTCGTCCTCGCTGGGCATGAACTGAACGTAGGTGTGCAGCTGCATGAGCAAATGGTGCTGCAGCATCCAGATAACCATTTGGGCGAGAATTCCCTGCCGCGCCGGCTGCTGCAGTGGCGTCGTCAAATGGCCAATGGACGTGGGCAGCGAAAAGTCCGAGATCACCTCGAACAGAGACATGCCGGCAAAGCGAGCCGAGAACTTCTCCACCAAATGGGACTTCGTGTGCAGCGGGGCATCTGGAGCAATCACATAGACATTCGTTTCGCAGAGGGGATAGATGATAGTGGCCTTGGCCCAATACACCAGATGCGACACAAGCTTGTACACATGCTCGATGCTCAGGTCGGCATTGGAGGCCATGCTCTGTAGGCTGATCAACGGGTTGTAAGCATCGACCAGCTGCCACAGCATACGTGCCCCCGTCGGTGGGACGCAGTCTAGTAGCTCGGCAAAGTCCACCAGTAGCAGCATCCCATGGTATGGCTTCAGCGCTCTTAAACAGCGGTCAATAGTCTCCGGGTCCACCATGCTGCCCTTCTTATGCAACTGATGGGCCTTGGCCGGCAGGCAGAAGCAGAGCGTTAAATTGTCGTTCAGCGAGGTGCTCAGCAACCCGGTGGTGCACAGATCATGAAAGATGGAGCGCAGAGCCTGCGCCAAGGTGCACCGTTCCGCAATTAGCTCAAGAGTGCGTTCCAGCGGCTGTTGCTGCTGCTCGTCATGGGTGCGTGCCATTAACGCTGTCTGCTCAGTCAGGTAGCCGCAGCGCTGCTCTTCGAACTTTAACGCCAGGCCCAGGCGCTTGCTCAGCTCATGGTAGCACTTGACGATCGAATAGCTGGCCTGGGCGTGCAGAGCAAACACAATGTTGATGAGCATCTGTTGTTTTTTGGCAGCAGCCGTGGTTGAAGAAGGAATCAGAGTCGGGTGGCTTACAAAGCGTACATCGTTCAGCTTGAGCTCAAACTTCTGATTGCAAAGCTGCGGCTTCACCGCAAACAGTGCCAACAGCACCTCATCTGCGAATCCCTGTAGTTGTCCTTGTCCCTGCGTCGGCGCCTGCAGTAGGTCGTCTACATGGGCCACAGCAAAAGGATTTCGCTTTCTGAGTAAGAGATGCAATGAGTCTGGTCTGGAAATGTCTTGAAGTGATCTGAATTTCCCACCTGGACTTGCGCTGCTCCTCGCTGGCCACCTCCGTTTGGCCTAGTGTCTGGTAGGGATACCTGTAGAGCAGACGGTCACCCTTGCTATCAAAGTAACCGAGGATAACGGCCAGGGGATTTACATTCGCATCCATACTGCTGTACAGAAACGACCTTGCCGCTTAAAGCCAGATTTTGTGGTCTGCAGGGGAAGTATGCATATCAACAATTTTGCTGGGCTTTAACCCTAGCATTTGGTGATGCCAGGATTTAACTCACTCGCAACGCTGCTCAAAAGTTGCGCACTGCTGAAATATGCAACACATAAGCAGCAACTATTTCCATAATTCTCTAAAATTACAATTTCTTTGCAATGTGACCGTGCGAGGGGTCTGGAAATATACCAAAATGCTGTTGTAAAGTTTCAACAAATATTTATCGAACTATAAAAAATATGAATATATACAAAGTCGGAATTTTAATTGTAATTAATCCCAATTTTTTATAAAAACCAATTGTACTTTCACAAGTTAATCAAGCCCTTTATTTCGCCATTTTTAATCGATTTAAATCACTTGCAAATCGATATACACCAATCGACGTGTTGCTCAGCCCTGGTAGAGCGATAACGATTATTCGCTGTAGTGTGACCGTCTTCGGTTGGTCGCTAATTTTGTAGAAGCGGAAAGTTGTGAACAAAACGCGTGGAATTGTGCTTAAAACGTCAACAAAAATTTGTGAAAATAGTTGTGAGCGTAGCATGCGAGCGCGGCAATCGCAGCAATATGAAATTCACCCGAGAAACGTGTTAGTTTAGCTGCAAATGCACTTTTAATTTACGATTTCTTATTAGCGTGTTGGGAAGAAAAGAAGAAAACACAATGCGAGAGGCAAAATACGTGCGAAGCGCAAGTGTGAGCGAGATGACGCTAAACGTGTACTAGCAGCGGTCTATATGTATATGTAGTATTTGTGTGAGTGTAGGAGAGGTATAAGAAATTGTACAAAAAGTATAGTTTATTGGATTGTGCGGCCTTTTTTGAATTAATTTGAATGTCTTTAGACGAAAGGCAGCCAATAAGTTATATTCAACGTACTGTCATTCCAAGTCAGCACACTCCCTTTGTGTACCTATCTATGTACATATCTTTTCTTTAAAGAAAGCCGAACTATTATCAGGATTCATGCAAAAGTGTATAATTTCTGAGCAAAGTTAATAATATTTAACTATTTTCCTTTTTGTGTATATGTGCGCCAACATCCGTGTATAGTTTTACACATCCATACAAACAGGCATGCTCAGATATACGTATGTGTGGGTATCGACGGATAGGCGGAAAAGCAAAATCGAAATATGTACGTACAGCATTTCGGAATGGCCAGGCGCAGCAGTAATAGGCTAAAGAAGGAAACAGCGCAACACAAAAACCGAGAAGAAGAAGAAGCAGGGCAGCATAGAGAACAAAATAAAATAGCCGATAATAGGTAGTTGATATGCCTCTACCACTAGTAAGAAAGGTCCGACTAGCTGTGCTCCTGCCCGCTCCGACTGGTCATCTCGCTCGCGCACACGCTATTCGCGCCACCCGTAATGTATTTTCCTAGCGCGTTTTACCTTCTGCTTCTTGTACCATACGGTATTAATAATAATAAAATTGATTAATCAAAGTAGAAACATTTTGTTTTGTGCAGGTAGTAAACGTTTAAAACAGCGTCGTGCTATCACCCGGAAGCTGTGAACCGAAAATGTGCAACGGAACAAAAAATAAACAAGTGTCTAAGTGTGTATACAAACCGAATTTGGTTTGTAAAGAATAAAGTTGAAAAGTTTTGATCAAAAAACCGACAGAGCTTTCCGTCAAACCAAACTAAGTTGTATAAAATGAAGTGAAACAAAAATCAACAAAATAATAATAATAAGCGGTGAGTAAAATGAGTGTATGTGTGAGTGCGCGCCCAAAATCGTAGTCAGTGTCCCGTGAAGGGAGAACGTAAAAGTTAGATTATTTTATTTGAGAAAGTATATGAGGTGCACACTTGTAACAAATGCTGTTGAATGTAAAGTTAAAGAAGTTAAATTTTCTATTTGTTGATGCCTTGATTTTCTCAGTCCTTATTTTTTGCATACTGTGTCGCCATATTTAATTGCTTATTCTCTTCCCCACTGAACGACTGTATATCGTGCCCGCTCGCACACACGTTCGCGCGTTCATTTGTTTTGCTTTCAATTCCGTTTTGTGCAACGTGAAGTTAGATGTGCGTAATAGAGCACTGAGCACAGAGTTGCCAACTCAATGCAAATATGTTGTTCAATTTTAATTTGTTTTATTTGTTTTGCTCGGGTGCTCTGTACCTAATTCTTTTAGAATTTGGCACAACTTGATTATTTTCAACCCAATGAGTATGCTGAGAAACATTTTTGTTTTCTCCGCCAATGTTTTGACATGCGCACAACGAGCGGTCAATTGGAAATTGACAAAAAATCCGCTTTAAATATACACTTTAACAACCAATTTTCCATTTCGCATTGATGACGCCATATTAGTATCGCCTCGGTCCAATATCCATAATGTTAGAACAGAGAGTCGTTAGTCGCTTAGATTTTATTCCCTTTTTCTTTCGTCTTGTTTTTCTCAAATGTTTTATTGTGTGTTTTCGCCGTTTGCACGCTTATACGCCGTGAAGTTAGCCGCAACTGGCAATGCGCTTGTGTGAGTGTGCCTGTATGAGCGTCTAGTCTGATTGTCCCGCTCTAACGCACTGGGTACTGCTCGAATGTTCCTGCGCAACTCTTTACGCATACGTGATTTTTGCAATTGTTATTTATGCCTTGTTCTCTGTACGCGCGAATTTTCGCCACAAAATGAAAGCAAAAGTTGATAGACAACTTTTTGTACTGCGCTCGATTTTCTTTATTTTCTGCGCAACGCAGGCCATCGAACAAATGTAAATTCGCGAAAGCGAAGGGACAGCTATAGCAAGGCATTCGATAATTCCAAGGGTTGTCGCGGCGGCGGCCCAAAAAACCAAGCCCCAAACCTAAAACACCCCCGACCCAACCCCCGCCACCTAGCTAAGATTTTCGTGTAGGTGTAAGTGGGCGATGAGAGGTGAACGCCACTCTTCATGGATATTCGTAACTCAGCGGCGATTGCAATCTGAAATACCAAGAAAGTGCTTTAAAATGATCGAATTAAGCACACCCTTCTACAGCTCTGTAAAAGTAGGAGAGCACACAAATAAAAATAAGACGCAATTGGTTGACTGACAGGCGTATGCAAAAGCCACAGCTAAAGCCCATTCGATAGTTGCCACCGTTTGTACAGTCAAAGCAATGCCAATATTATTGTGCAGTCACGTAGTCCAATTGGTCAACAAACTAATATAAGCTGCCAGCGGCGGCTGCGTTACTATTTTTAATTGTAGGTTCATTTTGATTCAGGAGATCGCAATACAGTTCTTTCTCTTTTCCCCCGCACTCGAGTGCGTTCGTGTCGATAAGCTTTCGTGGCTCCTCTCATACATGTGTATCTTTCTACCGCTACAGGGTAACATCTGCAAGGAACTTCTATTCAGAAAACTTATAGATATAAATAATGAAGCTTATGACTATCTTCAAATAAGGATGTGCACTTTCAATGTTCAGTGTGCGGGCAGTGTGATTGTTCTTTTATCGACAATGTACTGTAATTTGTATTTGTTCTACTTCATCTAGCGATGCAACAAAAGCCATAGCAACAACAACAGTACGAAAGCTCACGGTCAGTGTTTGTATTTGTTTATCGTTGAGTATATGTGTGCGTTAAGTTTTCAACGTGCATTTACAGAGATCTGCTTGCTGTCTTGTTCACACCAACTAGCTGGCAATGGGGGCGACTTCGCTGGGGCTTACTTTGTGGGCTGGTGTGTGTATAATTTGTTTATGGCGCGCATTTTACTTGCCGATGTTGATGACTACAGTTGTTGTTTTTGTTGGGGTTGGGGTAGGGTTGGCTTTTGCATGTGTGTGTTTTGTAATTCACCTTTTGGCTGAGGATGAGGGAATCTCTGTCTCTCTTTGTCGCAGTTGTGTATTTTTAACTAGCAGTGCTATTGTAAGATTTTTTTGTAAATGTTTTGGTGTGTGTAACCTAAATCAAAATTTACTGTAACTGCTCTCATTTGTGCCGTTATCGTGCACTGCTTCCTTCCATTAAGAAATATGAAACGTGGAGATGACGATGAAACGGAAATGGTAGGCAGCATTGTCGTTGGAGGAGAAGTTCTAAACCAAAACTTCCTGGGTTATATAATTTATATACATACATATGTGTTTATCGATTAATTTGGCATTTAATGGACCAGGAAAGCAAATGAAATGTTACACAATAGCACGCGCTATGCTCTCTTAGATTTATCTAAAATTCAATTGAGGGGAATCAATTTCGCTGCTGCTCCCTATACTCTATTTCAAATGGAAATTGTATCTATAGCACGCGAGTGCAATAGACAATAGGCACAAATTGGCCCCAGACACATACACACAGGTGCAGGTGAAATATACATACAATACAGACAAACCCAAGTGCAAGTTGCCAGTGTAATGTGTAATAGATACAAGACAGCGACAACAGCAACTAGCGATGAATGCCGCGCCGGATGCCAAGGCGAAATTAGTGCATTCACATTTCGCTCTGCTTTGCCTCCTCTCTCTGCTTTTGCTTTGGCTCTTTTCCTCCGCTTTGCAATCCGAACGGCAAAGCGAAAGCGGAATGTGCAGTAAATAATAGAAATAGCGCGAAACACAGAGCAAAACATAGCAGCAAAATATTGACACATTGCTAAGAGTAGTAAAATTGGTCATTTGTAAAATCTAATCAAAAAGTAATATAGGATATAAAGAACCTTTATTTTCTCATAAACATATATTTATGTATATCAATGAACTTTTTAACGATTAAAACAAAGATTGAGGAAAGCTAAATTTGTGTCATTTTTAAATAAACCCACACTTGAAAATTCATTAATATAAATATTACAAAAGTTAGTCATCATATCGAATTAGATTGCTATGGATATTATTACCACAACTATTAAACAGTGCTAAAAATCTTCTTGTAAAATCTAAAGTTATATGAGTAATACACATAGATTTGTATCTCAAAATGTTTAGAAAGCCTAGAACTTCCATCCTTAAAATAAGTTGAACTGCTTCATATTGCAAGCCTTCTCATCTAAAGTTTACTTGTGACAAATTTTACAATGGAAAATGTGGGCAAATGAAAGACATTAGCTTAAGTGATTTAGCTGGAGAGGTGCGCGCATAAAAAATGCAAAACAGAAAAAACTGGTTTTCATCATAAAAGACAAATGCACAAGTGCTTAACGTTTTTGCTGTTTTTCCTATTTTTTTAATATTTGCCAGGGGGGTCACACTACACACACAGAGACACAGAATGCAAACACGCACACAAGCATAAACAATGCACACAATCCCTTGCTTGCTTTGGGCACACCTTTCGCACCGTGCTCGCTTCTGTGGTTTCTCTCTGATTTTCTGATTTTCTGCTCCCTGATGCTGCGTTCAAGTTTACAGCAAGTGCAGCAGCAGCAGCCATCACGAAGCACATTCCGAAAGCAGAGGCGAAAATACATATATATTATATGCAGAGAAAACGCGGATATTGGATGTTTAAAGTGCGCATGCGCATTTTTGGCGCTCGACAGCAACGGTGCTGTGCTTTTTATTTTATTACATAACGATAAATACGAATTGCATCTGGCAATGCCGCGCCGGGACGATAGAGATGGGCGCACTCCCCTTCCGATACTATCGGTGGGCTGAAATACTTTTGAATCCTTTTTTTTTTGCAATGGTTATATTTTACTTTAGCCATTAACTTTTTATTTTCTATATATTTCAGAAACAACGAAAGCTCGTTTATATACCATATGCAACATACAACGACGGACAACAACGTAAAACTAATACGAATCGGGACGGGGTAGAATCTTCATCACTGAAATCAAAGGACCAGAAGATTAGAATCAAGGGAGCGCAGAAGCTAGAACTGCACAGCAAGGGAGCAGTACGCTGAGGAAGTGGTAGCGGAAGCCGTTGAATCTCTTGCAGCGTTATGTTTGTGATGGCTGACAATGTGATGTGGCACAGTGTTGGACACCGTCTATGCAATTCAAACGCACGCCACGGCCCTCATCGCCTACCGTTAGTAGCGTTATTACCACTCCGTGCCAGAGCCAGAGGTTATGCATTGGGCCCCCAATGCTTTGGGGGCACATCAACGAAGAGCCAGGAGCTACAGCAACAACAACAGCAACATGATGGCCTCACCAGTAGTGAAGTAGTGTTGTGAAATCAAAAGCTAATCTTGAACTCTACCGATCGAGTGAACTATTAAGCCAAGTCAGGCTCTCCCTCTTCCTACAGGAACATACATATATATATATAAATATATATATATACATAATTTAAGCTTGCAGACCGCTCTGCAACATCTACATCAGCATCGCCATGCCTATGTCCAGCCACGACACGGTCTTTGTGGAGCCCGCCGTTAGCAGCAGCAGCAGCAATGTCGGCGGTAGCACGAGCAGCATCAGTCGCGTCGGGATCACTGGCCCCCAGCCGCCGCCACCCCCGCACATCGTTATCGATGGCACCAGTTTGTCAACGCAGGCGCAACTGCAGCGAATCATGCAGCGCCGCATGTCGATCAGCACGCGCCAGATTCTAAGCGCCAGCCAAGGCCAGTCCCAGTCAGTTGTGGCGGTTAATGCGACGCAAAAGTACGCGGTGCGTACGGCAGCAGGAACTGGGCCAGGATCAGCGGCCAACTCCGGCCAGGAACTAATCAATCCACAAATCTACAAGATTGTGACCACTGACGGCAGCACCAGCAATGTTATTATTGACGCTTCGGCTGCGGCGCCGCCACACAATTCGAAGCTGCTGCTAAGCAATCTCACGGTGCTCTCTAAGCAGGCCCCTGTCCAAGGAGGTGCAACGCAGCAGCAGCAACTCAGCTATATGGGCGCCAAAAGTCTACCGTATGTGACGGCATCGCCGGCAAAACAACCACTATTGCAGCAACAGCCCCAGAAGTTCGGCAGCATCAGCGCTTTTAAGGCACAGCAGCAACAGCAGCAGCATCACCCGCAGGCGGCCACCTTGCAGAAAGTGACCGTGGGCTCTCGTGTTGGGGCTCGTCTGCAGTCGTACGTTCCGGCCACACCGCCACAGATAATTGTGCAGCCGGCGCAGCCCAAGTATGTGAATGCCACGGCGACGACAGCATTAGCTGGCAATGCGGCGCTCCTGAAGAAGGCTAATCAGAAGATTACGGTGAAGAGCGTGGGCAATATGCTGCAGCAACAGCAACACCAACACCAGCAGCAACAACAACTGCAGGCCCAGCAGCTAAAGACGTTCATCACTCAGCAGCAGCAGCAGCAACAGCAGCAACAACAGCAGCAAACCTACAAGACGGCGACGGGTACCAAGGCAAAATTTGTAAAACAGACGACTGCCCTGTCCATTGCCGCCTTGCCCCAGCAGCAACAGCAGCAGCAAGCTACGTATGCAAAACAGTCCATAGTTACGCCCACACCGGTTACCAAGGTCACTAAGCTAAACAGCAAGTATGTGCAGCAGCAGCAGATCAGCTTGCCGCAGGGAACTCAGCTGCAGCATAAGACATCGCCGAATGCCGGCTCGACGGGAGGATATTTGCTGCAGGCACAGGCTCAGGCCACTGGCGGTGGAACCATTAAATTTGTCAACTCGCATGGCACCGTCATCCAGCAGCATCCCCAGCAACAGCAGCAGCAGCAACAACAACAGATGGGGACGACGAAACGCATCCACTACAATAGCAGCGGGAGTAGTGACAACGAGCCTGCGCACACGGTGGCGAACTCCTCTCTGATCACTGATGACGTGATGATTGTCAACGGAACGCAGATGACTGATGAGTTGTCCGCGCGCATCCTGCAAAGCATGGCCCAGAAGTCATTTAGCCAGCAGCAGCAGCGATCCCAACAGGTGTCGGGTGCCATAGGCAGCAGCAATATGCCGCCACCCACACAGATTATCTACAGCAACAATAGCAGTGGCAGCGGAAGCAGCAATGGCGGATCCGCTGGCAGTCCGGGTGGTAATCCACATGGAAATCTGCTGTTGACACATTATCAAGCAGCCGGCCCCAAGGCAGTTACTTCGACATCTTTCCTCACAGTCACTGGCACTGGCACGCCTCCGGTGACGGTGGCCAGCTCACCTTCGGTTAGCATCTCGTCGCATGGCTTTCCAAGCGGCAGTGCGGCCATCTCCTCGTATATGTCCTCGGCGACGGCGGCGCGTCGTCAGTCGGTGAGTGCACCCAGCAGCCGGGCGGCGTCACTGGAGCGGAAGCAACAGCAGCAGCAGCAAATGCAGCACGAAGCTGCAAGGAAGGCACCGACTGTTATTGAGTATTACAACAAGCACGGGTAAGGATAGATATCAACATTTTTTATTGGGATTTAAAATAGTAAATATGTATATATAATGTACAGAGTTTTGCCATTCGACTGATACTGGCAGCAATTACGTTTAATCATTTTTAAACCGTCTGACAGACTGACTGCTCTAAATGCTTTGCTGTAGGCCCTTTAAAATCGATTTGGGTTTTAAATGACACCTCGTTCCGGATGAACAAACGATTTTCAAGTGTCGACTTTGTTGGCATCGATAGTTTGCTCTTACAAGTGTCAGATTTGCATCAACTATCGGGCCGGGCCAGCTGTTCGATCAGTTCTATAACAATAGCAATAGAATTGTGTATTGTGACATCTCTCCTCTAATAACAATACACGTGCGTGTATCTTACCTTTCCAGGGTGAACCACAACAGCAGCAGCAGCATCATTAGCAGTAATCTTACCCATAGCAATAGCATGAGCAATCTCGGAGTTTTGCGGAACAGCTGTGCCAGCGGATATACCACGACAACGCTTACCCCAGCCACGTCTCTTCATTTGACGCCGCTCAATAACGTTCCTGGTCAACTAGAAACAGCGCCTCTGGTAAAGTTATCAACACCAACAACGGCAACAGTGGCGACAGGAGGTCAGGTTTTAACGGCACAGCATCCATTGGGCCACAGCCAGCTCAGTGCAAACGACGAGGAGCTATATATTGAAGAGGTGCGACCGGTGCCAGTGCTTACACAGGATCTACGCCTACAGCAGCTTCACGCCATCATGCAGGACCACACCTACGCCTCCTTGCAGCAGCAGCAACAGCAACAACAGCAGTCACAGCAGCCAACGGCTGATACAACAATTGCTGGAGTGGCACAGCAGCAGCAGCAGCCGCAACAGTGGTCACTGGGCGGAATCGGTGTGACTGTTGCCGCTGGTCAAACCACGCCCACCTATGGAAATTTCTACGGCCAGCCAAGTAAGTATATAGGGGACATAGCAAGCATTGTGAATGCTTTCAGAATTCGATTTTGAGGGTTAAATTAAATCAGAGGAAATATAATTGTATTTATTATATCGAAATGCCGAGAATTATAATTCCCACTTTCTTCTATGCAGTTCCTCGCCATGTGACCGACGATGATGCCCACTCAGCCATTAGCAGCAGCTCTCGCTTGGGCCTGGCCAGCGCTGACATTGATCCGGGCGAGGAGACGGAGACAGCGCCAGAAGCTGAGGCCGAGGATGACTCTGTGACGCGCTGCATCTGCGAGCTGACCCACGATGATGGCTACATGATATGCTGCGACAAGTGCTCGTAAGTACAGGACTAGTTCAAGCAGGAACAGTGTCTCAAGACTTTGGATCTAACTCTTTTGTTTTCTTCTGACCAACAGGGCTTGGCAACACGTGGACTGCATGGGCATTGACCGCCAGAACATACCAGAGGAGTACATGTGCGAACTGTGCCAGCCGCGTGCTGTGGACAAGGTGAGAGCTCGTGCCCTACAGCGACAGAAGCGTAAGGAGCACATGCTGCTGGTGGCCACACAGGCGGCAAATGGAGCTGCGGCCGTGGCGGCAGGGACAACGCTCAGCGGAGGAGTATTTGGCAGCGGCGCCGGCGTCGGTGGTGTGGTCATTTCCGAGGAGCTGCAGCAACGGCTAACATCAGGACTGAATGGAGGCTATGCCACGAACACAGGCATGTCCAAGAAGTCGAAGAAAACCAAAGAAGGCGCAGGCGGTGCTGGCTCCGGCTCCACTATAAAGAAGACCAAGAAAAGCGGCGGAGTAGGCGGCAGCGAGAAGGGCGGCACTGGAGGCGCAACTCCTTCTGGTGGCGCCGGCACTGGAAAGTCTAGCAAAAAGAGTAGCAAGCGCAAGAGCAAGTCCAATTCCGAAGGAACGAGCGGCGGCAGCGGCAGTAATCTTGCTCTTACGGCAGCGGAAAAGCATGCTGCCAATTTGCGCCAATGGATTGAGAACTACGAGTACGCAGTGACCAATCATTATTCGCCGGAGCTGCGAGCCCGCCTGCACGCCATTCAGAAGCAACCCAGCCTGCTGCAGAGCATCCAGAACACGGAGAACAAGGCGCTGCGACAGATCCAACAACAACTGTCGACGGGCGGCGGCGGCAGCAGCAGTGAGCTGGAACTGGAGCAGCGCGCTCAGCTCATTCCGTATGCAGGCGCTAAGGTGTTGATTAGCAGCGTGGAGCTCGCGCCGCACGCCCCCATCCATGAGCTTCGCGGCAAGTACATGCTGACCACTCAATTCCGCACCCAGAATCCCACCGTCAACATGAACACGCCGCCGCCTAGCAACTACCTGAACAGCTTCAAGGCTCACAAGACGCCGGGACAGTTTGTCTTCTTTTACCAGCTGCCGGGCGTGGAGGCGCCCATGCAGACGCTGCGGCCGGATGGCAGTGCGCCGCAGGTGGCGCAGCAGCCGCCCTCGTACCTCAAGGGACCGGAGGTGTGCGTAGATACGCGGACGTACGGCAACGATGCTCGCTTTGTTCGTCGTTCCTGCCGCCCGAATGCCGAGCTGCAGCACTACTTTGAGAAGGGGACGCTACACCTGTACATAGTGGCACTGACGCATATCCGCGCCCAGACGGAGATCACGGTGCGTCACGAGCCACACGACCTGGCGGCGGTGGAGCAAAAGAAATCGCATGCTGCCGTCATTCAGCCTACAAGCACCCGTTGTGCCTGCGATCTGGGCAGCGACTGTCTCTTTGCCTTACCGCTGGCGGTGCAGCAGCAGCTCCAGGCTCCACCGACACAGCCCAGGAGCAGTCACCGCAACAAGGCGGCAGCAGCAGCAGCGGCAGCTGCGGCGGCCAATAGCGCTGCAGCCATACAGCTGACCATGGGACTGGGCGTGGTGGGACCAGGAGGTGGAGCAGCGGCCGCAGTCGGAGCAATGGGAGGAGCAACGGGTGTCGTCCTGCCCAATTCTAGGAATCGTTCAACATCTTCCAGTGGCGAGAGCAGCCAAATGGGCCTGAATAGTCCGCAGCTCGGTCAGTTGAATCTTGGCTTTAAGCCCTCACCAACGACGGTCTCCTCAATGACGGCACCGGTCTGCAATAGCAGCGGCGGCAGCGGAAGCAGCAGCAGCAGTAGCAACAACTCCTGCTCGGTCTCCATGTCCAGTGTGCTGCACGACTCGGGCATTTGTACCTCCTCCTCATCGCCCTCGGTGTCCATTCCCTCGCCAACGCCGGCTCAGCTTCAGTCTCCAACGCCGCACCAGACCTCGCTGTTGCAGCGGAGTCCCACGCAACAGCATCAGCAACAGATCTTAGCCGCGTTGCCTACGCCGATGCTTACGCCTATATTATCACCACAGTTGCCACAGAAACATTCTCACGTTGTGGTACAGCAAACTTCCCTTTTGCAACAACAGCAACAGCAGCATCAGAAACCTTTGGCTGTCATTGCAGCGGCAGCAGCTGCACAGCAGCCCATGTCTACGTATATTGTACGACAACCTCAGCAGCAGCCGCAGCAGCAGCAACAACAATCTCCAAAGGCACAACAGAGCGTGGCGACTCACTTCCTCCAACAGCAGCAGCAGCAGCAGCAGCAGGAATTGCAACAGAAACAACTGCAACAGCAACAAATGGCGGATGAGGCCAGGATGGCAGTGAGTGCATTGCAGACCCTGCATGCTACTCCTACATCTCATGTGGTCACGACGCCAATCAAGGTAACGACTGTGCAGCAACAGCAACCACAGCCACATCATCAGCCTCCACCGCATTCGCCACAAAGGCAACCACAGCAGCAGCAGCAGCAGCAGCAGATTATCTATTCAACCGGCGTCGTCCAGGCGGTTCAGGTCGCCACTACCCCAACGAAACTAAGTTCGCCCACGAAGAGTGTGTCCCTAGCCCATAACAGTAATAATAATAACAACAACAACAATAACAACAGTGGCCAACCATCGGTTGTTGCAGCATCAAGAAAAACTCCAGGTAAGCAGCCGCCTCCCCAACAACAGCAACAACTCGTGACTCCGCCAGCTGCTACCGCGTCTTCGATCCCAGCAGTTTCGCCAGCAGCACCTTCGCCCGTCGGTGATTCCAAGGACGATGAGGCATCAGCGACGACACCGACTACGCGTACGCCCGCCAAGGATAAGCCGAAGCAGTCGCGGGAGGATCGAAAGCTGGAGGCCATACTGCGAGCCATTGAGAAAATGGAGAAGCAGGAAGCACGCCACAAGAAGGAGACGACGCGTCAGGGGGTGAGTGGTGTTGGTGCTAACAAGCGGCAGGCGAGCAACTCGCCCGCCTCGCCCAACAAGCGTGGCAGCTCAAACTCGATCAGTGAGGATGTGATGGATACGCCAACGAGCACCAATTCGCCGCAGCGACGTAACCAAAAGAAGAAGCGGAAGGTTAGCCGAAGCTATAACAACAATAACAACGGCAGCAGCAATAATAAGCGAAGGAAGAGCATTATGGTGGAATCGGATGGTGAATCGCATGCATTGACAAACTCTGAATCGGAAGATCATGTGCAGCATCATCATGCGCATCAGCATCATCATCACAGCGGATCGGAAGACCAGGCAGCGGGTCTACTCTTAGCCTTGGCTCACCACAACAACAACTCGCCGTCCGCCGGCAGCGAATCGTTCAAGTCACCCACACCCAAGTCACAGTCACTGCCCGTGAGCAGTGCCTGCCTGCTAATTGAGGCAGCCATGGGACCGCTGGTAGAGCAGCCTCCAGTTCCAGCAACGGCGTCTCCTTCGCTAGGCGGCAGCGGTGAATTCAAGTTCCCGCCCGGCGGTGCCAAGACCAAGAAGACGCTCATGTCAAGCTGGTTTCAGCAGGAGCAGTGTGAGCAGCAGCAGTCAGCCTCTTCGGGTTTGGACAGCCTCGTGAGGGCGGCCATGAGCGAGATTAATGGCGAACGAGACCAGCTGCAGCAGCATCAGCCAGAGCCGGCCCTGCTAAAAGTGGAGCAGTTCATCCATCAGACGGAGTCGTCGACAGCGACGACGGCGGGCACTGCTCGCGACCAACTGCATCTTCCGCTGCAGAACAATTCGTCGGTGAAGAAGCGTTGGTTGCGACAGGCCATCAGCGAGGAAACGACTCCGGATGAAGGGCTTTCCCCGCAGCAGCAGAGTCTGTCGACGACTCCCACACCTCTGCCTCAACCTGTGCCAAGTGTGTCGCCCCTGGCCAACGGATTCAGCACGCCGCTGAAGAAGCGCCGCCTCGTCGTGATTAGCAACGGATCGAACGGAATGGAAGCAGATGAACCGCACATTGATGTTATTGGAGAAGAGCCAAAGGAGGAGGCTGAGGATGAGGACATCGCAATGCCTGCTTTGAAGGTGGAAACGGATCACAGCCAGCAGCAGCAGCCGGAGCAGGACGATGACGTAGACATATTGCGATCTCCAAGCCCAGGCACTCAGCAAATCGTCGCCGAGGACAATCTGGTAAAGATCGAGCCGGAAGACACGAGTGCAGCCGCCGATGACGTGAAAATCGATGTGGAACGTGATGTGGAGAGCCAGGCCTGCGACAAATTCGAGGAAATGGTAAAGGTGAAGCGCGAGGAGGAGGAGCAACGGGAGCAGCAACAACAGCTGGAGGAACAGCAGCACCAGCAGCAGACCAAAGTTGAGCCCTCGCTAGTGGAACCAAAATTGGAACCAATTAACACCGCTGTCAAGTTGGCTCCCAAAGTGGAAACGCCGACGACGACAATAATTCCAGAACCGGAGTTGCCGCCCAAGGTGGAGCCGACAAAGGTGGAAGAACCGAAGCCGGGAGAATCTCTATTGCGCTCCACGGCAACGGCAGCAGCGGCAGCAACCCTGCTCAATGTCGGAAAGGTGGCCATTAAGGCGGCGCGACCGCCACCGCCTCTCAAAGTAGAAGATGAGCAGCCGCTGAAGAAAAAGCCAAAGTTAGAGGTAGCCATCCCTGCGTCGGTACCATCCGCGGCAACTTCAACGGCGGCGATACCATTATCCACGACCACCGTAGCAATAGGTGCAGCAGCAACAGTAGCGCCCCTTACTCCTGGAAATGCTGCTCCTTCCAGTACGAAAAATCTCACCGCGCACGATATTCAGGAACGTCTGTTGTCCTTCCATGCAGCCAACATTTCCTACCTGCAGTCAAGGAACAAAAAGACCACCGCCTCGGCTTCGGGCCAGAAGAGCAACAGCAGCAGCGGCGGAAGTGTCGCAGAGTCTAAGAAATCGTCCAAGGAGAAGGATGAGAAGCGCGAGAAAGAGAAGCAACTAAAAAAGTCGAAAAAAGAGAAGAAGAAGTCCAAGGAAAAGGAGAAAGACAAAGAAAAAGAAAAAGAAAAGGACAAGGAAAAGCACAAGGCTTCGACGACAACTGTTCCGCCATTAGTTGAAGCGAAGAAAAAGTCTCCTCAGTCAATCTTAAAGCCTGATTCTAAGACCTTGCCACCGCCACCAGCGCCAACACCGATCGTGACTCCTGTTGGCCTTTCAGCCATTACGGCTAATGGAAAGGCCAAGCACTTGACACACAACAATGTGGACCAACAGCAGCAGCAGAAGATGAGGCGTCGCACCATGTCCATGTGCGTTACGCCCGTGACACAATTGCCTTTGCCCCAATCCCTGGCCCCGCCAACTCCCACGACTAAGAAGCGGCAGACCAATTTCGAACAGGAACTGACCAAACCCAACAGCCAGATCCTGAGCAGCAGCATTCTCCTCAATAGCAGCAAAGTGCTGGCGAGCGCCGTACCTGGCATCGTTGCGTCCGCTGGTGTAGCTGCCGCAGGCGTACCGAATGCTGTCCAACAGCAACAGCAGCACCGCAAGGAAAACAACCATCACCAGGAGGTGCCGAGTGGAGGACCCATGAGCTTGGCGGCAGCTATTGCCAGTGGTAAGCTAGCGCCGATTACCCGACGACGCGAGTCCATGTGCGGCAGCCGTCAGCAGGCGCTCATCGCGGCCGCCTTGAAGAAGGAAAAAAAGGAGAAGAAAAAGAGCAAGAAGAAGGATCGCGAGAGGCAGAAGCATGAGAAGCAGAAGGGCAAGGAGAGGGAGCGGGATAAGGACAAGGAAAGGGAGAAAGAGAAAGACAAGGACAAGAAGGACAGCAGCACGATGATAAGCAGCAAGATGAACTACATTCAGAAGCCAACAATCCCAGCTGTAGTCGCGACTTCCTTATCAGCATCAGTACCAGTGCCCACGCCCAAGGCTGCTCCCATACCTGTGCTGATCACGCAACCTACTGCGGTTACTGTCCAGCCGCAGGACAGTAATTGCCCAACCGCCGTCACAAAGATGCCGCCACTGCCGTTCTACAACACCATCTACGGCAAGTTGCAGGATTCTCCTTCGTTGCCAGCAAGTGTCGTTACCGGCAATGTCCCTACAAACAGCAGCAGCAGCATGCCCAGTCTCTCCGAGTACCTGGAGGCGAAAATCAGATCTTCCAAAGCGGCAACCTGTCCAGCAGCTGCCATCGTTAGCCCAGTAACAGCAGCTGCTGCAGTGGCATCATCCCCTTTGTCTGTGGAAATGCCACCACCAACCACAACCCCGCTGAAGCTGTACACACGCACCGCAAGCCATGATCCCCGTCTGAACCCCATGCTGACGGTGCCTGAGCCAACGCCAATGCCAAAACGAAAGCTTTCCATTAGTGAGTATCGAATGCGGCACAGGCCATCTGTGGATTCGGCCCCAACCACGCCCACGACTCCAACGACACCAACCACGCCACCAGCGAACTCAAGTGCAACTGATCGCTGCTTTGCGAAGCCTCAGACCATTAACAAGTGCTCACTGCAGTCGCCGGAACGCTATCAGGCGGCCATAAGGGAGCGACGGAACTCGATCAGTGTCCACCAGCAGGTCCATCACCACCAGCAGCCTGGCGTGAATCACTTCAATCTCAGTAACAATAACATCAACAACAAGAGCAGCAGTAGCAGCGGGAATCACTTGCAGCAGGTGTTGGGTGTTGTCGGTGTCGGTAGCAGCAGAATACCTGCCATCAAGAAGCAGGCATTGGATCCGGCGGCCACTACCTTGAGCACAGTGAACAGTATCCTAAGCACGGCTCAGAAGCTGCATATGTTCGATGACAAACCAAAAGGTGAGTTAATTTTATTTTTAGAGATTTAAAGAGTTTTAAATCAATGTTTTACACCCACAGGTGGCCACTTCAACGCCGCACCTACGCTACTGGAGCAGCAGCAGGAGAAGATGAGCGAGAGATCGCGTTGTCTGCAGCGGACCATTTCCTGCGATTCGCGGGTTATTGAGCGATTGGGTTCAGTAGCGGCCGGAGCTGCTGCAGCGAGTGCATTGGTAGAGAAGGTGACCACGGCGGCTGCGTCCCGGAGAGATGCTGGCCACTAGTGGAGGGTGAGTCACGAGACGGGACTGCCAGCGACTTTGGGTCTGAAAAAGACGCTGTTTCAATGCACAGCAATTAAGATTTTGGACAGACCAAACCGGAAAAAGATGTAACCCAGTTATGAATCGGAAAATGCCTGAGGCCGGATTCAAGTTTCTTTTTTTACGACAAAAAAGCTAGCTGCTTCCCTTAGACACCACAAACCACACAAGAGATGCGTCCGTTTCAAGTGTTTCCTTTTCCTTCACAATAGCAAACAATTACTGATCAAAGAAAACAGACAAACAAACTAACAAAACGCCAAGCAAAACACACAATGCAATCATATGTCTATTTGTAAGCAAAAACACATCTCGGTGATCTTTAAGAGAGTCTAGAAGATATACCAAAACGTTCTTACTAAACAACTACTTAGTTTACTTAATTAGCATTCGTTTTCGGTCAAGGCAAAAGTGAGACGCAAAACAAACAAAGAAAAAACCCAACTATATATATAACAAGAATTGATATATTTACATATAGCATATAGAATACGGATTAAGGCAGCCAAAAAAACTGAAGTAACACAGATGATATAGGAGAATACCCTTTGGTAATTGGTAATATGTATTTTTAAGTTTATTATCCGATTGAAGGAGAAAACAGTTTCGTTACAAACAAATGCTTGAGCTAGATATAGAGAACCAAATCTCTATAGATTTAACCCTATAAAATATATTTTATGTAACTTTTGTTTAAACTACTTGAAATAATGGTTAAAACGTAGAAATAAACAACAAGAAAAATCCAATTCCCATATACCATATACAATATCAACCGAAATTCAGAGATACGCCTAAGCCACAAAGCAATATTAAAAAGTGAACCTGGCAAAATAGAAGATTATAAAGACCGAGGAGAACATAATCCAATGTAAATAATAATTTTTAACACTCACAAAAGGAGGAAAATGCGATTCGTTTGCGGTTCTTGCTAGGTAAAGTTGAACATTGAAAAAGAGTACAAAGCGAGGGGTTAATTGAATTAATAATTAATACTTGGGCCACTCGGAGGACGCGAAACGATACAAAGGATGTACATAGCATAAATACAGGCAGCAGCAGATTTCCGAAGCCATTTTTCGTACCTAGAATTAATTTTGTTTTTAAAATTTTATATAAATACGAAAAGGGAAAACATAAATTCTGGTTACATTTTGTAAAATAACCTGTTTTACAAAATTAACTCTAATTTTTGTTGCATTATTCAAATTTCAAGCACGCCTCGATTGTTAACGATTAATAGTCCGCCAAGGTGTGTTCTTTTCGATACATGCCTTGTGTTGCATTATTTATCTTTTATTAAATGTGAAATTAAAATATATATAGAAATCTGTATTATCTATTCTTTGTTTGTTGGAATATCTGACAAGCATTTAAAAACGAATATACCCGGTGAAATATGCAGCCCCAAGTTGTACCCAAATATTTTTTCTCTTTAAATAAGGATAATTAGGAAGACTTTTCTTCACTTTTATAATATAAACTTGTACATACACAATTGTATTTCTTAATTTTAAGGCGACAAACAAACAGGTGCGTTATACATAGGCGAGAGTAATTTCTTTTTATGATTTCTCTTTTATTCTTTCTGTAAATAGGCAACATATTCAACACACAGATTATTATTATTAGTCTAAGGGAATAAGTGTAAAATACTGAAGAGTTATAAGCCGGATTTTACTGAAACGTATATATTGTCAGTTATTTTTTTTAAGATATGTACCATATAATAAGCAAACCCCATATTAACATTACTTATACATAGTTATCTATAACAAATATAAAAATGTACGATGATAAAACACACAGTTTGTAGTTTTCGTAATCCAATTTTGATAGTTCTCTAGTTGGTAAACACACAAACGAAATTATTTATAACTTATTTGAAGGGAAAACACCCCAACTCGTAATAATTTTTACTCTACACTTAGATCCTTTATAAGTGAGAATTTGAATTGTAAGTGTAAGCGTAGTGGTTTTAGTCACATAAGTCTACCTTGGTTCAACTGATGATGTAAATTAAAAATACGTTAATTGTTTACTAAACACAACACACAAACATAAGCATATGCATATGCCACTACAAGTTGTCGGCATGCCAAGCTTCGTCTGTAAAATACATTACAAAGTGAATTCGTAAGATTCTTTAAAGATAAACACAAAAAACCGAAAAACAACAATAAAAGGAAAATAATATGAAAAATATTACAAAAATGTTTTTTTACTATCAGTCTCGTCGGAAGAGATCAAAGGGTTTTATAATTTATAATTTTTATATTTTTGTTTGTAATTTTATTCAAGAAATAAATTTTTAAAAATCGCATAACTTAGCCAAAAATTTATTTATTTATTTATTTAATTTATTTATGATAGTGTTTGAAAGGTTAATAAATCTGAGTACGACATTTTACATTTTTGGAAATTGAAAATTTTATTTTTTTCCAGACGACCGATTCAGCAGTTGATCCTGATCAAGAATATATATGGTTTATAGGGTCGGAAAAGACTCCTTCACTGCGTTTTAATCTTCTGACTGAAGCTATACTCTGCAAAAAGGTATAAAAACAGAAAATTTTCTTAAATAATCCGAGTTTTCAAAACATCATAATTAAGCCAAAATAGCATTAATTTTGATTCGGAAAACTTTTCTGTGCATGTTTTTATAGCACTAACAAATCTGCATACTGCGTATGTTGATGCTGTTATACGTTTCTGACTAAAATTATAGAAACCCGCAACAAGGTATAAAAACAGACAATTTTTCCCAAAAATCATACTTAAAAAAAACTCATAACTAAGCCAAAAAATAATTCATTTAAATTCGGAAAGCGTTTCTATGCTAGTTTTTAGTAGATTAAGAAAGCTGCATACTCAGTTTTCAAATTTAAATAATTAAATTTTTTGTCAAATTTTGACAATTTTAATGATGTAACCCCTTATAAAATTTTCAATTTTCGGAAAAATGTAAAAAATTTATTTTTTGACCGGACATGGCCAGAACGACTGGGCTGTTGATGCTGATCAAGAATATATATGGTTTATAGGGTCGGAAAAGACTCCTTCACTGCGTTTTAATCTTCTGACTGAAGCTATACTCTGCAAAAAGGTATAAAAACAGACAATTTTTTTAATAATCTGAGTTTTCAAAACATCATAATTAAGCCAAAATAGCATTAATTTTGATTCGGAAAACTTTTCTTCGCATGTTTTTATAGCACTAACAAATCTGCATACCGCATTTCTTGATGCTGTTATACGTTTCTGACTAAAATTATAGAAACCCGCAAAAAGGTATAAAAACAGACAATTTTTCCCAAAAATCATACTTAAAAAAAACTCATAACTAAGCCAAAAAATACTTGATTTTAATTCGGAAAGCGTTTCTATGCTAGTTTTTAGTTGATTAACAAAGCTGCATACTCAGTTTTCAAATTTAAATAATTCAATTTTTTGTCAAATTTTGACAATTTTAATGATGTAACCCCTTATAAAATTTTCAATTTTCGGAAAAATGTAAAAAATTTATTTTTTGACCGGACATGGCCAGAACGACTGGGCTGTTGATGCTGATCAAGAATATATATGGTTTATAGGGTCGGAAAAGACTCCTTCACTGCGTTTTAATCTTCTGACTGAAGCTATACTCTGCAAAAAGGTATAAAAACAGAAAATTTTCTTAAATAATCCGAGTTTTCAAAACATCATAATTAAGCCAAAATAGCATTAATTTTGATTCGGAAAACTTTTCTGTGCATGTTTTTATAGCACTAACAAATCTGCATACTGCGTATGTTGATGCTGTTATACGTTTCTGACTAAAATTATAGAAACCCGCAACAAGGTATAAAAACAGACAATTTTTCCCAAAAATCATACTTAAAAAAAACTCATAACTAAGCCAAAAAATAATTCATTTAAATTCGGAAAGCGTTTCTATGCTAGTTTTTAGTAGATTAAGAAAGCTGCATACTCAGTTTTCAAATTTAAATAATTCAATTTTTTTGTCAAATTTTGGCAATTTTAATGATGTAACCCCTTATAAAATTTTCAATTTTCGGAAAAATGTAAAAAATTTATTTTTTGACCGGACATGGCCAGAACGACTGGGCTGTTGATGCTGATCAAGAATATATATGGTTTATAGGGTCGGAAAAGACTCCTTCACTGCGTTTTAATCTTCTGACTGAAGCTATACTCTGCAAAAAGGTATAAAAACAGACAATTTTTTTAATAATCTGAGTTTTCAAAACATCATAATTAAGCCAAAATAGCATTAATTTTGATTCGGAAAACTTTTCTGTGCATGTTTTTATAGCACTAACAAATCTGCATACTGCGTATGTTGATGCTGTTATACGTTTCTGACTAAAATTATAGAAACCCGCAACAAGGTATAAAAACAGACAATTTTTCCCAAAAATCATACTTAAAAAAACTCATAACTAAGCCAAAAAATAATTCATTTAAATTCGGAAAGCGTTTCTATGCTAGTTTTTAGTTGATTAACAAAGCTGCATACTCAGTTTTCAAATTTAAATAATTCAATTTTTTGTCAAATTTTGACAATTTTAATGATGTAACCCCTTATAAAATTTTCAATTTTCGGAAAAATGTAAAAAATTTATTTTTGACCGGACATGGCCAGAACGACTGGGCTGTTGATGCTGATCAAGAATATATATGGTTTATAGGGTCGGAAAAGACTCCTTCACTGCGTTTTAATCTTCTGACTGAAGCTATACTCTGCAAAAAGGTATAAAAACAGACAATTTTCTTAAATAATCCGAGTTTTCCAAACATCATTAATAAGCCAAAATAGCATTAATTTTGATTCGGAAAACTTTTCTGTGCATGTTTTTATAGCACTAACAAATCTGTATACCGCATTTCTTGATGCTGTTATACGTTTCTGACTAAAATTATAGAAACCCGCAAAAAGGTATAAAAACAGACAATTTTTCCCAAAAATCATACTTAAAAAAACTCATAACTAAGCCAAAAAATACTTGATTTTAATTCGGAAAGCGTTTCTATGCTAGTTTTTAGTTGATTAACAAAGCTGCATACTCAGTTTTCAAATTTAAATAATTCAATTTTTGTCAAATTTTGACAATTTTAATGATGTAACCCCTTATAAAATTTTCAATTTTGGAAAAATGTTAAAAATTTATTTTTTGACCGGACATGGCCAGAACGACTGGGCTGTTGATGCTGATCAAGAATATATATGGTTTATAGGGTCGGAAAAGACTCCTTCACTGCGTTTTAATCTTCTGACTGAAGCTATACTCTGCAAAAAGGTATAAAAACAGAAATTTTCTTAAATAATCCGAGTTTTCAAACATCATAATTAAGCCAAAATAGCATTAATTTTGATTCGGAAAACTTTTCTGTGCATGTTTTTATAGCACTAACAAATCTGCATACTGCGTATGTTGATGCTGTTATACGTTTCTGACTAAAATTATAGAAACCCGCAACAAGGTATAAAAACAGACAATTTTTCCCAAAAATCATACTTAAAAAAACTCATAACTAAGCCAAAAAATATTCATTTAAATTCGGAAAGCGTTTCTATGCTAGTTTTTAGTAGATTAAGAAAGCTGCATACTCAGTTTTCAAATTTAAATAATTCAATTTTTTGTCAAATTTTGGCAATTTTAATGATGTAACCCCTTATAAAATTTTCAATTTTCGGAAAAATGTAAAAATTTATTTTTTGACCGGACATGGCCAGAACGACTGGGCTGTTGATGC